AATCCATCTCAATGGATTTCGTCTTCGGGTTACCCAAAGACGCACGCGGGAATACGGGTATTCTCGTATTTGTTGACAGATTCAGCAAAATGGTACACCTTGTGGCTGTACCAGAGACAATCACGGCAAGTGGCTGTGCTTGTGTCTTTATCGACACCATCTTCCGAATTCATGGGTTGCCCCGTGAACTCGTATCAGACAGAGATTCACGATTCACTGCTGATTTCTGGCGTTCCGTGTTCAAATCACTCGGAACGCGCTTGAAGATGTCGACATCTGATCATCCAGAGTCAGATGGTCAGACGGAACGTGCCAATCGTGTCCTTGAAGAGATACTTCGAGGATACGTACACTCCTTTAAGAGTTGGAGTGAGTTTTGCCCATGGTAGAGTTTGCCATCAACAACTCGGTGCATGCGTCCACGTCACATACACCGTTTTACGTGAATGGCTTGCGCCATCCGCGTGTACCCACCTTACTAGAGTGTAACTCTGATTTAAGGGGGGGAGGGACTCGCGCGAGCAAAAACCGAATTGGTTCACGCTCATCACGCTCTGACGAAGAAGTCATTGCGTTTGATGCCGATATCGATAACATCGATATCGAAGAAGATGATGCCAGTGAGAGTGCGGAAGCCCTCACTGAAGAAGATGATCCCAGTGAGAGTGCGGAAGCCCTCACTGAAGAAAAGGTTGATGTTGCTGCAGTGCGCTCACAGCACACTGAAGCTAACGAGTCATCAGATGAGTTCATACTGGCTCGTGAAACGGTAGTTCCGTTCTGTGCAAGACTCCATCGCCGAAGCGGTGGATAAGCAAAAGCAAAACGCGAACAATAATGGAAGGGCAAACACTCTTTTATTTAATAAGGGTGGCTTAGTCCTACTGTCTACGGTTAATCTACCAAAGCATGTATTGACTAACTTGGGTAGCAGTAAACTACTACCCAAGTACATCGGCCCATTTCGTGTATTGCATCGCCTAGGCAATGCATACACGACCGAGTTGCCACGTAAGATGCGAACGCATCCCACGTTTTACGTTGGTCGGCTTAAGACGTACCATCAGTACGCTGCTTCTTTCGATGAAGAACGCCCTTGCGCTCAAGTATCTCGCAGAGAGCCTTGTGCTCCCGATGGTGGGTATCGACAAGGGTCTGAAGAGCAGTTATCTCATCCCGAGACCGATCAACAATCCCACGAGCTACCCTTAGCTCGTCACGAAGAGATGTCAGAGCTCTCTTGTTCTCAAGCTGAGCAAAGGCAAACTCAGCTCGATGCTTCAAGACAGTGTCCGCCATTTGGAGACGCCTGTCCCGCTCATGTTCGAGATCGCCGCGTAACCCTTGCGTTACGCGATCAAAGAAGCTCTTGGGAACACACGCTTCCCCACGATTGTGTGAAGAGCGTTTTCCCTCCTCCTCCACCTCCATTAGAGGACTCTCGCGGTGGCCAGCGCTATCTGGTTGAGCAGCTGTTGAACCACCGCGACGTGAACGGACGTCGGACGAGTTATCTCGTCCGGTGGCGCGGCTATCCCCCGTCCTGGGATACTTGGGAGCCCCGCTCCCAACTGATGGGTGACGTACTGGGTCTGGTTGAGCAGTACGACGCGGCACATCCTGTGCCGCAGAAGGACCGCCGGAGAAAGTCTTCCCGGAACGGTCGTAAAGGGATTTCAGGTTGTCAATCCCTTCGTACATCTCACTAGACATCCGTGCGCGCCACCACGGGCTATTAAGGAGGTAAGCCTCCTTAGGTGCTCGTGCAGAGTTGTTCACCCAACATGGGCACGAGTCTCCCCAAGAGAGGCAGGGTTTTCCTTTCTCCCTTGACAGACGATGCAGATTGTAGCGTGCACCTGTCGGGGTTCGCTTTTCAAACTTATCACGAGCTTTGATTAGTTTGTCGTTCCAAGCGTCACGACCTACATCCTCAAGGTTATGGATGTAGGCGTTCCACGCTTGAAGTAGTGAGGGACCATCACGTTTGTGATTCCCACTGTACCATCGATGTCTAAAGAAAGCATCGATGAAGAAATCATTCTCAGCGCGATAGTTTTTCGCGCTGGGGTCAAGGTGATGGATCCTTGACGAATCGAACAACCGTGTTCGACAACGATCACTCGTCGTCGCCGACAAGTGATCCATGACAGATTTGAGAGGCATCCATGCCTTCTTCTCAGGAGCGAGACGCAACACATTGCGGTCCCGCTCTTCCTGCGATGTGCCGACAGAAGGACTGGCACCTCGTTGCGAAGTGGTGTCAATAGGAGAACCGACACTACTGTGAGCGCCCGAGTCTTGCGACTTCGAGCGCCTTCGCTTCGGCGATGGTTCATCTGATTCATCAGATGAACCAAAGATGCTTCGACGCATAGCATCATCCATACCATGCTTGGCAGGCGGCTTGGATTCGATCGCCGTCGATACGGATCCGTCTTCCGTATCAGGAGAGTATGAGACACCGAGCTCATACTCTGTGAAGACATGAGTGTCTTCATGATGAGCGCCTGCATCACCAAGTGACACAGGCTGGGTCGCTTCAGCAACCGATGAGACATCAGTTGCTGTGGTTTCCGCTTCGGCGTCCGCACAGAGACGTGCAGACGCGCTCTCGGCGGCCTTGCTCGCGCATCGCATGGGCTTGTTTACCATGCGATGAAATGTTGGAAAGTGGACGCGGACCAACAAGTGCAAACCCTGTCCCAAATGATTTGGGACGAGTATCCATTTAGTCAATCAGTCACTAAAGTGACTGATGGTTAAGGGGGGTGATGTAACGGGGTGAATCGTTACATAACAATTTATAAGAAATTGTTAATAGAATATAACTATAAGAGTTATATTCTCAGAATATTGTCATAAGGACAAATATTCTGTAGCACTTACGAGTAGTTCCTAATTGGTTGATATAGGCCATTATATCAACCAACGAAGACGCGCCACGACAGACGCACGCAATGAGTGGTGAGCAGATAACTGATTTACACATTTGTATTTAGACATAGTTAGATGAAGATAAATAGTGATTTATTGCAGACATTAACTATTATAAATACAGTTCTACTTTTTACTCTAACCAAGTACTCGCTTCTTCTTACCGTCTTCCTCTGCACGTACGAGTGTACGTGAAGTTACGAGGCACCGCCTTATTCTGTAATCAGATAAGTAGCTTGTACTGTCACCAGTACAAGCTTCAGGGTGCCCCGTTACATTAACTATTATAATTACAGTTCTACTTTTTACTTAAACCAAGTGCTCGCTTCTTCTTACCGTCTTCCTCTGCACGTACGAGTGTACGTGAAGTTCCGAGGCACCGCCTTATTCTGTCGTCAGAATAAGTAGCTTGTACTGTTACCAGTACAAGCTTCAAGGTACCCCGTTACAGTTGATGATCACTTTAATGGGATAAAGACGCCTGCTGTAACAAGGCACCCTTTGTAGCGGAGCTACATAGCGCTCCTTAACAGAGGAAGTACTGGACGCAAAAAGGCTCTTTGTGATAACATTCTAACAACGACGTATAGTCGTTCAAGCGTACAAGCTTGACAACCCCGGCTTGAAAGGGATTACGATTGACAGCATCACACACTAACTAGAGGCTACTTGTATAGCAAGAGTAAACGCCTTGGCAGGGCTATTGCTCTCACAAAACACTACGCCTTGACCAGGTACTTGTGCCCAACGATTCAAAGGAGAACTAAGCTTTATTTATTCTTTAACTACGGTAATAAAGCCCTAAAACCTTGTCTGACTGACTTCTACATTGCGATCCAAAGACAGAAGTCTTATCCCTTATCCTACCCGATAAGGTGCGGCGTTACCGTAAGTACGTGGTACCAAGACTGCTCAACTCAGATCCACCGATCTTTTTTTTGGTGTGGACGCACAACATAACTGATTAAATATTAGCGTGCAACCCCGTTGTAGATAAAGACTGAGTTTATATATTGGTAGCTAAACTTTGATAGATGCAGTTCTCTTTTTACCTTAACTTAAATTAGGAGTTTAAGTAGATTAGCTTCTTTTGCACGTACGAGTGTACGTGAAGTTTTGTGGCCTTTAAGCTAAGAGTGCCCCGTTACGATTATCGCTTCGCGAATGTGATGCAAGAGTACGACTGACCAGTGACACTGATCTCTTTCTGTTAGCACCACATCAATGTTTCGGGTCACCACAACCGTTTGTGTTACAAGGAGCACGCCAGAAGACCAATACATGTTTAGACAGCTCCATCCTTCGCTTTTCGATCCAAGGTTCGACCAGAGTACTCGAATGTTCGACGAACGAATGGTTCGATTAAAACCTAGGCCTCTACTCTAATGTTCGATTCAGAAAGCCCAACCCAAAGATTTGAACCGAATCTTCGATTTGCCCAACGACTCCAAGCCAATCGCCCATCCCCCGATGACGACCCGACGTGAGGTTGTCGTGTTATTCACTCCGTTGTTTGGTCTCGTACGTCTACAACGTCGATGTAGATGGTCGAGTAACGCCCTCGTCCTATAAAGTGCGTGTATCAATTGCGCAACACTAGTTGTGACCTTTTGCGTATTGGATTCCAAGGCAAGCGTCATCGTCCACGAGCGATGACGCTTGCTCTTTGTTTGACGCAATGGTATACTTGGTCGCCCGTACATTGACTAGGCATCTACGTAGAGCATAGCAGTCAGTGATGCCATGAAAGTCACCCACATTTCACATCTCGTGTATACAACTGCGTCGCATGCGGATCAAAAGCAAGTGGTCGTTCCTTTGCATGCAGGATCAGGTGCACACCGCGAGAATATGCCTGCCAGCTATGACCTGGACCCTACAATCCTGACTTCCAGCTCAGGATACGATTCCGGTTGTACCGGCTCTTTGGACGTCATCATCGCTTCACCGTTACTGCTCTTCAGCCTGAATGGGGAAGTGAACACCCCTACGTTACATCCATCAATCCCCTCTCGCAACACGCATCACACACACACGCTGAAACGCTTTTGAATAGACTGGCTTTATACAACTTGCTGGAACCCACAATCTACACTCGCTTCTCTCAGGTTTCGACGACCTCGGCGGGCCTTTAGTCTCTGGTACAGCCTGCGGAGAGCGCGAATCCTCGGGTCTCTGTTCACCCTTTTGATCTTCTTCCTGTTCCTTCCGGACGTATCATCTTCCACGCACCACCTGTCGAAAAGCTCTCGAACCTTGTGCACTTCTTTCAAGTTTTCAACCAACTCCTTGACGATCTCTGTCCATTCCACCTCCTTGAGAACGCCCAGGAAACGCTTGTCAGCGATTGCACCGCTAGTCACCGTCGAGTCTTCGGTCTGCTCGGTGTCAATCGTAATCGCAGCACTGATCACAAAGGAAATAGCTGCGACGGCAAACAACAGGGGGGTGTACACGCGCATGGATGGGCTCCTTTGACACTTGAGGAACTTGACGCACTTCAACACAAATGTAAAGTGAGGACTGGCCACCCGCCCGTTGCTAACGGAAGTGCGAGGACGGAGCTGAGAGTGGCCACTGACAAGCACATCCCGTGCTCGCCTCGAGCAGTCGACAGTCTGGTCAGCTCGTCACGACTCAACATTACACACGTGCTGTACATAAACAGCTTGTGATTACACCGCACGGTTACGACCTGACCAGCTCTCGGTGCGTGTCTCCTATCAGGCTGGGGATCCGCAACATTCCACAGAGTCCGGACGGCGCTTGATTACGACACAAATCATGTGATAAAACGGTGCTTTGTTAGGTACCAATAAATCATCAGCTCGTCCACCACTCGTCTGCTGCGTCCTCTTCTCTCAGTCTTCTCCCGCATGCCTGGTCTTCAATTGATGGCAAAGGTTTTACTGGGTTACAACCCGTCCTTCCGACAATCAAGGAGTGCACTGCATTCCCAGCGTATCCTTCGCTTCCACGTCCTTGGCTTCCATGGACATTGGCCAGCTGCACAGTTAGCAAGCAGAACCTCACCTGGCAGCGTGTCCGATCGAGATCCCGTGTTGGAGTTGAGCCAGCTGCAGCAAAACAACGAACATCATTAGGCATCAACAAAAAGCGAGTAGGGAGCAATGAGAGACACTGGCACTTACGAGCTCCAGCGAGTTCTGCAGGGGCACCACCGTTTCGATGGTTGAGGACGAGCAGCTATTCTTTCCCTCGTCCATCGCGGGTAGATCCTCATCATAGTCAGCAGTCGCTCCTTGTGCTGCTGCAATTGCCTCATCCTGAGACTGTAGCGACGATACCGAAACCGGCGGCGAAGAAGTCCCGATTGTGTCCTCTGACAGCTGAACTGCCGACGGAAAGGTGTTCAACAGGCTCAAGCCCACGTCTTTGTTCGTAGCTACATCATTACCGACATCCTCGTTGTAATTGTCACATCTGCCCTGCATCCACGCTTCGTCTGTCGCTTCGTGACCTTCGATCTCCTGCTCTCCATCCACTGGACGCAAGTATGCGTACTTCTCCACGACACCCACGCCAAGGATCTTCTCTGGTATGAAGTCGCCGCACGCCGAGTAATTTTGCACGAGTAGCTTTGTGCATTGTCGGCCATTGTTGTCCTGCAATATGCGTACGGCGTCTGCGAATTCCATGGCGTCGATGCGAATATCGTTCACTGCAACGATATGATTATCCGGGCGAATCTCGACCCAATCGATGTCCTCGCTGACGACTATACCAATGCGCTTGAGCACAATCAGTGGTTGATCGATAAACTCGAACTCGGAAATGCTCTCCACCTCCACCACACGATCGTACAAGAACAACTCGTACTGAAAGATCTCGCCGACCGAAGCCTGTACCACTGCGTTACAACCGCTAGCCACCACCTCTCGAGACATCGTGTTGATATCGCTCTTTACGTACACGAAGCGAACTGTACTCGCTGCCGGAATATCCTTCGTACTGATCGTCAGCTGGCCACGTCCACCTACCGGCACATGATGGTAAGACCCCATCTGAATGTCGGCCGATGCTGCCTCAGAGATGAGCACCTGAATGTAATCCTTTGCCGAATGCGTCTCCGGCACGTCGTACTCCACTGCATCCAGACATATTACACAGTCATCATTAGTACCTTCTTCACTGCAATGCAGAGCCGCTCAGCACGAAACAACAACAGAAGGCAATAGCAACATTTCGTACACGTGACAAAAGACCCTTTCTCGACCTGGCCGCCCATGTCTAGCTGGACAATCCCACTCGGTCGGAATGCCAGCAGCTTCATCGTGTAGAAACTCTTGTCTGTAATTTGATCCAGCAGCTCTTTCAGCTCTTGTGCTTGCGCCGCCCACTCGGACATGTGTCCCCTCTGCAACAGATCCTGCGGCAGCAAGCCAAAGCTCTCTCTCATTGGCCGTGCCCCGGCATGAATGAGCATCTTGATGGCCACTGCATTCTGCGCAAAACACGCATGGTGCAAAGCGGTCCGTCCATTTTCGTCCTTGTGGTCCACGTTCACTCGACGTTGAAGCAGCAGGTGCAAAATCTCTGCCTCATTGGATGACCTGACCAGCTGTCTCTTGTCCCCCTCTCGAGTGCCATGTACTCCATTGCGTCGGGGTTGTTCCTGTCTTTTTTCTTGTCCTTGACTCAACCAATCAGCGCCTTCCCTGTCATTGTTGATAAAACCATCAGGATCGTCCAAGGCTTCGTCCAGCGGCCGCTCCTCGTGACTAGGCAACGGTATAAAGCGAGCGACAGCGAGTAGCAGTGGCGTGCGGCCGCTGTCATCCGTTGCCTCGAGGTCCTCGATCGTCATGGTCCTCAGCAACCGACGCACTTCCACCAGGTCTCCACACTCACACGCGCGATGGATCGTCACGCGGTTCCCCATAATTCTGATAATTGATTAACAGCAAAAGTAGGTTTTACTCCCAAAAGTGAAGCGCGAAGGTCCGACTTGACGCGTTGTCCTGAGTGACGTGACAAGAAAAAGGACAGTTCTGGCAGGACAGCAACTGCATCAAAAACCGCACTTTTGACACTCGGATAGGTTCGATAGGACTCGCTTATTAGTTACAAAACAGCGGCTAGTTCGTAGAGGTTATGAACTTAGAATTTGGGATCGACCGAGACCCCATCGACAGAACGACTTCCGACTTAGTCAGGAAAGAGAGACGCGATGTTGCGCGTACACAGCAAGTACGTCCACGAGATTAACCTCCTCCTCCTATCAGTTGCTTCTAACCTATACACGTGACTAATTCCGTCTGATTGCAATCGCTTTTGTGTGTCAGTGCACTGCTTCGCACAGTATCGACTCTCCCAGTGCTCATCGTGACGGCCATCTTCAGTCTCGAGTACTTTGTGTTCATGACGGAACATTGGCTCCTTGAGTTGCGGCGATCTGTGGGGCACCTTGTGCTGCTCCGGGTCGCAGAGGGTCTCGTGTTCCACTTTGTGGTTGGCTGTACGCTTGTGGCGTACTATAAGGTCGTGCTGACAGGTGGTTCGGACAGCACATGCAATGCTGCCAATGTGGACGAGGTGGCGGTGGTGCTGATGGTGATCTTTTGGGTCCCATGTGCTGCTTGTTGTTGCGGATTTAGACCCTGGATACGTCACGCCGACTGTAGTCCAACGCGCTCAAACTGCGCTACAAGATGCAATGGAACAAGGCAGTAGCAAGAGTCTACGGACGATGAGCTCGTGCCACCGATGCAAGCAGCTGAAACCTTTACGCGCGCACCACTGCAGCTTTTGCGATCGTTGTGTGCTGAAAATGGGTACGTTTTGATCCTGACGATGACATTATACATCTGTCGACGTGCTCTTGACGGGTCGTATGCTGCTTTTCCGGTGCAGATCATCACTGTCCGTGGGTCGCCAATTGCGTTGGCGAAGGCAATTACAAATTCTTCTTCCATTTTGTCGTGTACGCTTTCTTCGCTTTGTGTATGTGTGTGAGAGCACTAGCTGGGCCGTTCCAGATGGCGCTGTATAGCAAGGAGGGCCCACGAGGCGGTGGCAACTTTTCTGCACTGGTCGTGGTGGGTTTTGTGCTGAGTAGCGCCCTGGCAATCAGTTTGCTGGGTTTCATCGTCGTCCACTCGTACCTCTTGGTCCACGGTGCAACTACGATCGAATGTCATCAGTATGGCCGTGCATTTCCATTCAACCAGGGATGGTGGAAGAACCTCGAGGCAGTGCTCGGAGAGACGACCAAAGACCGTCTACTACCGACGACACCACGACAGAAACAACAGTACGTATTGCACCCTGCAGAGCTCGAGCACCTCAGCTGCTTTGATGACTCTAGTGACCAAGAAGACGATAGCTTATTGTAGAGAAGATTGTCAACATCGGTCAACCATCTGTCTCGTATGTGTCCAAATATCATTATGTTAGCGACCGCTGCCTTCTGATAGCACCAAAGACAGCTCTGTCTTGCCAGTCTCTCTCTCTCTCTCCTTCAGTTCTTCCACTCGAGCAGCATACATCGTAAATCAAGACGTGCTCAAGACGAAGGCGCCTTTTCACTGAGGTGGGACGTCATTGCCATGGAACACGAGCGACACGCTGTTCACACAGTGACGCTCATCTGTAGGCGTTTTGAATCCTTCGCCCTTGAACACGTGACCCATGTGACTGTAACATCACATCCATCATACAAAAAGCGTTACCAAGTTAGCAAAGAAAAAAAGTAAAAAGAAAAGCTTCTCCAGAGCTCCTCGGTCTTCTTCTCTCACCCGTCACACTTGGCGCACACGATCTCGATACGACGTCCACCTGCATCAGGAATAGTCTACACGACAGGTTGGATAATATCAAAATCCACAAGACTGCCACACTTGCTACTGCTACCGACTCCGACGAACCTTAATTGCGCCTGGAATCGCGTCATAAAACGCTGGCCAGCCACAGCCCGAGTCAAACTTGGTCGTGGACGTATACAACGGCGTCTTGCATCCCGCACAGACGTACACGCCCGTCTCCTTGTGCTTGTTGTACGCTCCTGTACCCGCACGTTCGGTCCCCTTGAGACGCAGAACCTGGTACTGCCCAGGCGTCAGGCGCTTCTTCCACTCCTCCTCCGAGAGCTTCCCAACGTCGCTACAACTGCCACTAGTACTAGCCATTCTCGACACGAACGTTCGCGAAGGAGCAATAGAAAAGTGTGTTCGGGCGACGCCCACGCGCTTCAAGTTCCCAGCCAGTAAGAGACTCGGCAGTACTAACGGTCGCACGAGCCGCCACGACTTGGTCATGTTTTGCTTACTCGAGCGATAAAACCTCAACAAAAGAGAACCCACCCACTCATCCACCCACTCGCCTTTCCACCCAAACCGACGCTACCGCATGGGTGGGGCTCTCTTCTTCTGCACCTTCCGTCCACATTACCGCAACATCCCCCTCTCCTCCCTCACCCCATTCACCCGAAAGCGGGACGCAAGAGCGACGAAGCCAAGAAGAAGGAGAAGGAGAAGGAGAAGACGATGGTGCTAGGCGAGCTCGGGTCCAAGCTCCAGGGCGCGCTGGCCAAGCTCAACCGGTCCATGGTCGTGGACGACGAGGTGTTCAACGCGCTGCTCAAGGAGATCAGCGGCGCGCTGCTCGAGTCCGACGTCCAAGTCCGTCTCGTGCGTCAACTCCGGGACAATGTCAAGCTGGCTGTGAACCTCCAGGACACGAGCTCGGGCGTGAACCGCCGTCGTCTGATCCAGAAGTCACTCGTGGACCAGCTCGTGCTCATGTTGCAGCCGGAGGCGCTGCCTTACAAGATGAAGAAAGGCCAGAGCAATGTGATTATGTTTGTGGGTCTCCAGGGCAGTGGCAAGACCACGAGCATTGCCAAGTTTGCTCATTATTACCAGCGGAAAGGCTGGAAAACGTGCATGGTGTGTGCCGATACGTTCCGTGCCGGTGCTTTCGACCAGCTCAAGCAGAACTCGACGAAGCTGCGGATCCCGTTTTATGGGAGTTATACGGAAGCGGATCCTGTACGGATTGCCGAAGAAGGTGTCGCGCAGTTTCGAGCCGAGAACTATGAGATTATTCTGGTGGATACGAGCGGTCGTCATAAGCAGGAAGCAGATTTGTTTGCCGAAATGAAGGAGGTTTCGACGGCTGTCCAGCCGGATGATATCGTGTTTGTCATGGACTCGACGATCGGGCAAGCAGTGTTTGATCAAGCTAGTGCTTTCCGTGAGACGGTGCAAGTAGGCAGTGTGATCATTACGAAGTTGGATGGTCATGCAAAAGGTGGAGGTGCGCTTAGTGCCGTAGCAGCGACGGGGTCTCCGGTTATATTCTATGGTACGGGCGAACATTTCGTGGACTTTGAGGCGTTTAACGCCCACAGTTTTGTGAGTCGGCTTATGGGAATGGGCGACATTCGGGGCCTGATGGAGGAAGTGAAGACGAGCGGCATGCTTGACAACCAGGAGGAAATGGTCGAGAAGTTTCAGAAGGGTGTGTTTACGCTGCGGGACATGTACAAGCAATTCCAGAGCGTCATGAAGATTGGTCCATTGAGTAAAGTCATGGCGATGATCCCGGGATTGCCTCAGGGCATGAGCGAGATGATGAACACGGGTGGAGGTGAGGAAGAAGCTTCAAAACGACTGCGGCGGTTCCTCTTTATGATGGACAGTATGACGGATGCTGAGCTGGATGGCGTCGTCCCGCTTTCGGACTCGCGCCAGATGCGTGTTGCGCGTGGCTCGGGTTGCCAGCTTGTAGAGGTGGGGTTCCTGCTGAAATGCCACAAGCAGTTTGCAGCTGTGGTGAGTCGCATGGGCAAGAGCAGCCTCATGAAGACAGGGGACGCCGCGCTTGGAAAGCAGATGACTCGCAACCCGAATGTGGTGATGCAGCAGCTGTCGAAGGTCATTGACCCCAAGGTGCTGGCGCAAATGGGTGGGCCGCAGAACTTGGTACGGGTGATGAAGCAGATGCAAGGCATGGATCCCGGTGCAATGGCTAAAATGGCCCAGGGCATGGGTATGGAGATGCCGTTTTAGATGTACCTAGATATGTTCAACGGGGTCTGCGCCTGCAGCGACAATATACTGCATGACCTGATCAATTTGACGAAGCGTTCGTGCATTCTAGTGTGCGTGTCAGCTGGTTGCAGGTACACACGGGCCCGGTGCATTTTTGGCGATGCGCAACAGTGGCACTGTTGACGCTCGTGGTGGCGCTCATGGTGGCGCTCAGCTCGATCTCGATGCGTGTTCGGCGCAGAGGAAGTGTCTTTGCGTAGCGCTCATTGTCTGCCCATCGTCTACCTGGAACTCATGAGCTTTCTTGTGCAGACAGATGGGCGCACCGAGTCTACGATATCGACGCCAGCTCTTTGTCGCTGACGCACCGTCACGTTCATGTTTCCGAAGACGATACCGCGCAAAATCTCAGCTATGAAAGACACGTTGGTACTCGGTAGCGCAGCAGAAATCGGGCGCGGCCACGGCTACGATGTACTTAGAACTGCTTGCAGACTCCTTCCTGGGGTCAAGCTTCGTTCGTACCTGACCATCATAGCTTTGGCACATGCATCACCTTCCCGCCTTCCAAGCAGCACTCGTTTCACCAGACAGCTATGACAAATTTGTGCACAGCACCTTGCCTTCACCGCGCAAGTTCGCCGGCAGCGGAGAAAATGCAAGATCCAGCAATGACCACAGCGGTTGTTTGCCAACGAGCGCATAATGGCGTTGAGAAGACAACATTGTTCATCTTTTTCCTCGTATTGCGAGCCTCACGTGCTCAATCGGTGACAACGTCTTCGTTGTCCTCATCGTCGTCTTCATCGTCTTCGCTGTCTTCTGCGTCCAAGATGACCAAGCGAGCAGGTGGCAGAATGACGCACAGAACTCCACGAGAACCGGTCGCTGTGACTGAAATCGCGCTTTGACCGGATTGCACGGGAGTTGAAAACGAAGCGATGGAACGTCCTCGGGTGTGGTCAAGTGTGAAGTTGTGAGTGATGCTCTGAGACAAGATCGCCTGGAAACAAACCGGGATGAGCGCAATCACTTATCATGCAGCAAGTACCAGTGGCTCACCTCAAATGAATGGGTGGCGCTTATGCGCAAGAACTCAACGTCGTCGTACTGCTGCAGATACAAGCACGCTATACAAAGAAGTAACAAGGAGAAGCGGTTAGTGCTTGTCATGCGATGCCTCAGCAAGTTTGTCCTTGTTGGCTTATCACACGTACAACCTTGGTGCCCTTGATCGCCGCCAACTGCGTGATCCAGCACAAATGCAAGCTGTTCTTGCTTGTCTGACGGTCCATCACCGTAAAAATCAAATCCTCGGCATACAACAGCATTCGTAGAAGACTCTTGTGAAAAGCTAATGACTGCAGCATCCCAAACCAAGAGTGAAGGCGTTTCGTGTTGAAGTGGACGGCAGTCTACACGTTGAGATGCACACAGGAGCAGCACAAGACCCGATTGTAGACGAAAGCCCACCAAGATCGTACTACAATCGGCCTTGTCATTTGGCAAGCGTCCGTAAAATTTGAGGAAGTCCCAATCGATCGTCTCTTCATCACTTTCTCCCTCATCGCTCTCATCTGCGCTCTCGACAACTTCGTCCGAGGTTCGTTCACTGAACGGGTTCCGGAAGTGGATATGGCATTCATCTACAGCGTTGTTGGTGTTACCAACAGTAAAACACCCACCCTCATCACGTCTGATTGTTCGCGCAAGCGTGACAGACATCGCAATCTGCAACGCTAACCACTGATCTTGAATACACTGACAGGAGATATCAAAGCATCTCGCAGCAGGCTGTCGTGCACTGTCTTCCGAAGAATCTTGTCGTGCTGAGAGGTGGCAAGACACCAGGTTGCCGAACGTGGTCTCAACTTTATACTTATTTTGGCTTGGCTGCTGTTTTCGGTAACGCTTGGCAGCATCTGCGGCACGCTGTAAGAAATCACACAGATGCCGCAAGTTGAGAAGAGACTTTGATCCATTTGCAGCACTGGCGTTACAACCACCAATCCCTGCTGCAGGTGGTTCACCCTCCCGCCGGTGCACATTGGTATGAATGCGGATACGCTCCATGATCCACTGGAAAAATAACGCAAAATCATGCAGAGTTTCGTGTAGTGCCAGTACAAGTGCCTCCACTTCAACAAGAACATCTTCGATTGTTTGAACAAGATTGTCCAGAGCGCTGATTGTGATTCCCAAAGTAGTCGCATAATTTTGAGGATTCCACTTGGCGTGGCCACGCATCTCCGATAACACGAATAAGAGTTCCACCAAATCTTGCTTCAACTTACCCTCAGCAAGTGTTCGAAGCGAGTCGCATCCACTGCATAGAGCTCTCTGCATTCGAGACACACTCTATTATCCATACACACAATCGAGACGAATAAGTCTCCCGGTGAGCTTTCAGTTTCAATGACTATCTAGATACGTACCATTTCCTGAATGTCTTGAGCGAAGTACTGCGCCAGCACAGGCGGCGTAATGCCACTCACCAGCACTGATAACATATCTTCCTGCGGCGACACTTCACACGCGTACTTCTCATAAAGCGATCCAATAAGCCCCATCTTCAGCTCAAAAATGCGTGTAGCGTTTTTCCACTCAGTCTTCATTTGGTTACCGTAACTGACAACCCGATCCAGCAGCGTGTGTACGCGACTTACTGTGCTCGCCACAAGTGCCACATCCTCGCGAATATACCGAATGGTCGTCGTATCCAGACTCAGCATTCGATAAGACTTGGAATCATTCGCCACACCGTCCACTTGACCACTTGTGCGATTGCAGAAAGCAAGCAAGACGAGCACGAGCGTCAAGTCGGGCGCAGCACTCACCCGTTCAACATAGAAACCCGCCTTCTCGCTCTCTCCTTGCCCCGCTCGGTCCAACAGCTGAAACTCTTTTTCAGTAAAATGGTCCCTCACATCGATGCGAGTGAGCAGCACGCGCCCCATCCACCACAATGCAATGCATCCCCCCCTGTCCGCAGTAACAAGGAGCGTGTCCGGGCAAGTAGGATCACAGGGTCCTGAAAAAAACTTCGTTGCTCGACGTTGAAAGCGGAGTTTGGATTGGGACACCACGTCACAAGAACTACTTGCACCAGCATCCCCAGCACCACCAGAACGCTTCCAACACCGTTGCTTTCGTTCACCATAACGTCCATGTTGGTCCATCGTCTCCGTGATCTGAGTCCAGTGCATTGCAGTGATGCAATTATCATGGCGGAAGCTACTGCAGCCTCTGGACAAAATGTCACCAGACTCCACGTCAATCAGTACCACTTTGCCTGCGTCACATCCAACTGCAAGCTGCAGTCCGTCCGGTCTCCAAGCCAGCGTCACCATTTCAGAGCCAACATCGGATGCTTTACAGTGCAGTAGCTTTTGCCACGATGTTGTGCGCTACGAGAAGCATAAAAAGCAAATTGATGATAATGAGCTTTTGTTAGTAGACGTTGTCCGATTATAAAAAGTGTTTACGACGATAAAAAGTGGAGGTCGTGATGGGACTGCAGTCGACGCACATGGACGAGAACGTCATGGTCAGGAGTAATCAGTGCAACGAGGTCCATACTGGGACAGCAACATACTGCTAACGAGCTCACGAAACGGTCCTGTAGCGCCACGAAAGCGCGCTTGATCGGCATGACTTTTTCTTGCTTCGTTGTGATCAATTTAGCTTACTGATTGGAGCACTTCTGCTGATAGGATCTGTGGGGCAATATACCTCACTAATCTCAGCCTGACTCGTTCGCATGCAACTTTTCACCTCAACCGGTGTCTGGACCCTGACGTCATTGATACGCACAAGAAGACTGTTACAAACTACATCTCTTTCAACTAGTTCCTGAATGTCTTTGAGTAGTAGTGTAAGTATCGTCCAAGGCATAGACCAAGAGTTTTCAATGTAGTTGTTGATTCAAGGAGCTGCAGGCAAAGAAGTTATGAAGTTGCGAAACCTTGCAGCAAGCCTGCTATTCATCGCTCAACTAGAACGAATCTTCCATTGACCTATGGACAAATCGATTCGGTCTCGCTACACGTATGATCCAAAGAGTGCTTATGAAAGTGGTTCCTTTGGCGGTGCGATAACCGGAATACAGATGTGATGCGCATACGTATTGGAGCAAGATGTACAAAGAAGGTGGATTGTATCATAGCTAGTCAAGTAAGCACGATCGCACAAAAATGACGAGACAAGAAAGCTACACGATGGAACAACCACGGATTATAGACCTCGCACGAGACGAGATCTACCATCGTTCGTGCGCACAACACTCGGTTTGTACGCATAGCTGCAATGGTCTTTGCATCCAGCATAGTAGATAAAGAAGATCTATCATGAGGTAAAACGAGACAAGTCAAGTGCGAACTTGGCCTCGAACACGTCGACGACAAATGTTTGCTTGTGATGACTATGGGCCGGACCTCAGCGGTCGTGGATATGTGCAGCTCGTTATCTCTCACGTGTTTGCTGTACACGCAGCAGTTCGAATCTGCCCGTTTTTCATGGTAGAAATATGAGCTGTTTAAACACCTGCATCGTGTGAAAGAAGACCCTGAGCCTGAGACTGCACGATGATCAACTGCCAATGCGTAAACACTCCCGAGCCCATCCGGATATTTCCACGTTAGAAACGTGTCTAACCTTCCATCAACCTCCCACCCTCCGTGCAATGGAGACTTTCATTAACGGTCTTCCATTGCGTCGACCTTCATTCATTCCCTGATGGCGACGTCCAGTTCGCTCCAAGCTCGTCTACGTCGTGGCGAAATCCCCTGTCGTGGTGTCAATCTCGGTGGATGGCTCGTTGCTGAGCACTGGATGACATGGGACTCGTGTGTGTGGCACGGTGTGCCGGATGATATCAAAACCCAAGGCGAATACGCGACGATGAAGTTCCTGGGTCATGAAGAGGGCGACCGCCGGTTCGACGACCACCGACGGACGTGGATCACCGAATCAGATATTGCGGAAATCAAGCGGTTCGGACTCAACGTGGTGCGCGTGCCAGTAGGGTACTGGATCATGGGCTACGACCCCACCGACATTTCGAACAAGCAGGAGTGGACAGTCTTTGCGCCTTATGCGCTGCAGTACTTGGACGAGTTGGTCAACCATTGGTGTGTGAAGTACGACGTTCCAGTGATTGTGGACATCCATGCAGCAAAAGGCTCCCAGAATGGTCGTGACCACAGTGCTGCAGTCACGAGTGGAGTCACGTACTGGGGACAATACCCGGAAAATGTGGACAACACGGTGCATCTAGCCAAGTTCCTGGCCTCGCGATACCGCGATAGTCCAGCCTTTGTTGGTCTTGGTCTACTCAATGAACCAGAGCACCCAACGGACCAAAATGTGCTTCGAGGTTACTATGAGCGTGCCTATGCTGAGATCCGTGCCACGGGCAACGACTGCGTGCTGACGGTCGCGCCACTGTTGACGGAGCAGAGACCTCCATGTATGGAAGACTTTATGCGCTTTCCACAGTTTGTGAACGTGTGGCACGAATGGCACCCGTATTTTCTATGGGGATACGAAGGTCAGAAACGTAAACAAGTGCTACAAGCTATCCGCTGCTACGGCGACCAGATCTCATCGTGGAGTGGCAATTGGCTCCTTATTGACGAATGGAGCTTAGGTGCTCAGAGCTATGCGTTTCCAAGCGAAGACCGCCACGGACTTCGCCAGTTCGCGTCGGCACAACTTGAAGCATTTCGCAAAGCTCACGCGGGATGGATCTTTTGGTCCTGGCGCCACTCGGATGACGGACACAACCGCCCAACGGGGTGGTCGATGAGGCAATTACTGCGCGACGGTGTCATTCAGCTTGGGGAGACGACGGGGTGGTCGGTGAAGCAGTTACTGCGCGACGGTGTCAACCGGCTACGGGAAGTGTAAGTGAGTGAGTTGTTCGAAGCGGGATATTTGGATGCGATCGAACGCAGATGGGAGGACACGAGCAATTCAGACTGGTTTGTATATGTTCGAGTCAAGGTGCACTTCCACACACTTGTCAATTACTTTGTCCTGTGCGCATGTGCCAAGCGCCACTCAGCTATGCCTTAAACTCAGAATGTGTCATTGCCGCCAAGCATTTGAAGTGGAAGCTTGCAGTTATGTCAAGTGACAACCATCGCTGGACCAATCCTAGTACGGCCATACAAGGTCTAGTGAACGTGAATGCAATCAATGAGCGCAATAGCAAGGCTACCTTGCAGTCTAATGGCAATCCGTCTTTTGCGCATTTGAGCAATAGCTGCAGCTCACCATATGCGATCGATCGAATCTTGAGAAGATTGAGGATCCAGCATCAAAAGCGACTTTGTTAAGCTCCAACATGACGATATAAAATGCGGACACTGCATTCCGAGAATGCCTTTTTGCCCTATGCCAAGGAGTCGCTCGGTACCTTACCGAACCGGCATGATTCGATGTAAGGACCAACATGCTGTAGCAAACGCTGCCGCAAGTGACATACCGGCAATAGACCGACGTATTGGTTTGGACATGAATCGCTCGATGCTGTACAGCCTCCTTTTGCTACACAAAGAAGCGAGCGACTTCTGGTTGTGAAAGTGACTACATCTGCGTCTGACGCTGTTGTTATCTCGATCTAATGCCATGAATTTGATGTGCATGGGTTGGGATGGGATTGTTCGTTGTAGCAGAAGGCGCTACCCAGGAGCTACGAAAGCTAAGTTACCGCTCTACTTTATTCATAATCCTCTACTGCAAGCAGCCACCGCACGATGCCGGACCTGCTTACGAAATCACCGTTGTCACAATTGGTGATGTCCCTCTACCCGTAACACCTTGCGATATCTACCCACACCACCGATGCAACAGCCGATGGCACCAATACCTCACTGATGAATATCACTGCGGCCATGACAGCAATTGCTCTGGCGTTCAAGAAGGGTAGACAGGCTCTGCCAGAAAGATGAAGATGAGAGAAGACGCAACGACGAGTGCAAGATAAGTCGACTTGGCTTCCTGCTGAGTTTCCAGTGGGTAGCGCGTATCGGGGCGTTTAGCTCTGTTTCGAGCGTTTAGAAAGCGTACTGACCTACGCCTGGAACGATCAGTGCGGGTGCCAATGGTAATACCGTTGCAGTGTTCACTGGGATGACCCGTTGGAACAAGGAGCAATCGAGGACAAGGCTGGGATAGCTTGCGAGATAGAAAAACAGCACGACTGCGAATGATGGCATGACTAAATTAGTGTTGAGAGCTGAAGATCTGCGTACGCGTGTGAGTGTGACCATCGAACGCAGCTAAGAAGGTGACCGGGTGAAGGCCGAAAGAGCGATTATCACATAATAGGCGTTGGCAAGGTCCAGCCTTCTGGGTCTAGGAATGATTCCAAGCGTCGAAAAATGTGCGATAAATGTGCTCTTTGTTCTTTCCGATGCAGCCATCCGAAGAAGCAATGCATGTCAATAGTTGATGCGGTGGGGGATCCATTACGTCATAGATTGTTTTCATGGAGAGGGTCAAACATTGTTGCCACGTAGTCATTCCCATCTAAGACCCTATTTACTCCATCTCCATGGAACGGAATGAACCGAAATGTAGGTTTGGCAAGACTTGCACTCAGCATTACCGTCGATCGATTCTTACGAAATCGACGTCGAAAGGGACACCATAAATAGCCGCCAAGATGGCTGGAGAGTCAACTCTTCATCCCTTATGGTCGATAACCTTTCAGCTCGTTCGTGTTCTTGCGATCAGTTTTCTGATAGCTGACGAAGTCACCATCAAGACTATCATCCGTTGATTTCCCCAGCCATTCTGTTGACGCGTTCCAAGCAATGAGCAAAATGGGTAAGGGCTATGACAAGCGATACCTCATTGGTGCCGCAATGTCGAATCTGATGGAGAAGATCTCAGTAGGCGATTCGAAGACTTGGTCGTGAATGAGACAATATCCCTGAAGGCTCGAGGAAAAAGTCGACGCGCCATACGACCCAACTAAGAAGGTGAACTGGCGTCATTCACGCACATTAATTTGAACACCACAAAATATACTACGTATTCTCCATCTTACGGATGTCACGTGAGCTCCGCTGTGACGTATGCTACGGAATCTTGTAAACAAATGGAAAGAATAAATGACTAGCTATTTCAAAACACATCGGTCGACGAGCTGGTAGTGAGAATTCGTGCACCTCCATGGGTACAACACGTGGTCTTTTCATCCTGATTCTGATCGAACTGGTAGCGCAACCACCCGCGAGATGTAGCACGCTCACAACGGTCAACTGTCGACGCCTCTTTGCTATCCTTGCCGCATCAGTCAGCCTTTTTGACGGATCTTCACCGTTTCTGCTTTCCACCCTGCAGCATTCACTATCGAACCAAGACGCACAAATCCCATAATAGATCAATGTCGTCGAGGAGGCGTACAGGCCAGCCACATATTCTTGCCTCTCCAGCCAATGTAATATTGACGAAGATCGGGCCGTGCAGCATGCTCGTCATTGCACAATAAGTTGACATCAGGTCCACCTCATCCCCGGTATGTAGGAGACCACTTCAAGTCAACCGGCCTCAATAGACGAAGCGTCCACTATTCAAATGCATCGCTTTCTAAGTCCCTCAGCATGTTGACATCGACGATGACCGTGACTGGATCAGCATGCTGACTGCCTATGCCTTGGAAGTTCAATTCAAGAAAACCACAAGCCACCACGCTGATCGTCTGCTACATGCACAATATCGGAGCTTTGACTCGAACCAAGGAGGGCCAAGCAGCCCCACACACACGGGCATCTACCAACGACAATCGGTCGCTGATTCGATGTTGCAGCTTTGCATGAATGTCCTTGACCATGATATCTCGATAGTATGAAGAATCGACGTTCCATTATAGTCGACAACCGTTTAAAGTTGAACCAGCACGAGGAAAAGCGATCACGTCATGAGGCTACCAGCACCTCCACGTCGCATGAAGGGCTCGCCGCATACTCTCACACATGTAAACTGACACTAGCATTGAAACTCAGCATCTCGCCTGTAACAGTTTACGGACCGGTCATAAAATATGCGTCTAAACGTACTCTTGCAGCTCGACTAAGTCCGTCAAAGTGACGCCGCGCGGTCACATTCAAGCTGAAACAAAATCGCACTCGAACATAGACAGCGCCAAAACGTCAGCTCTGATTCCCACTCGTCCGATCCCTTTAATAGCACTCGCACCACTCGTATTTCCACTCGGTTTTGCTGAATCATAAAACCACTGGTAAAAAGGCCCGAATCTCGCCAAACCGCATATCAAGAGGAGCTCCTCACTCTCTCTCTCTCTCTCTCTCTCTCTCTGTCTGTCTTCATCTCCTGCTATCAAGCCGCTTCGTCTTTCCTGTCCATGCATCAAACGACGCGTCTCCTCGCTCTCCTGACGCTGCGTCAGTGCTTAAGCGACGGCAAACGAGCGTGTCTCACGGTCTTCCGAAGCATTGAGGGGAAGTATCGCTCTCGACAGCGACTTTGCAGCGGTTCCCGCCAGTTCCAGCGCCTCGTCGCCCCTTGTACATTCTGTAATAACGGCACGAAGACGTCGGATCAAGCATGGCGCCAAGTTGCGGCACTGGGCGTCGTTCTAGGCGGGTTGGCACTCACACATGTTTCGCTCACGCTGGACTCTGATGCGGCGCTGGAAAGCAGAACTACTCCGAAGATTCGACGAGGAGGCAACATCCACCACGAGTACGAGATCTTGGACGAAGTGGTGGGGGAAGGAGGCTACTGTGTCGTGCAAAAAGGCGTGGACAGACGCACGGGGGAAGTCGTGGCTGTCAAGATGCTGAGCAAGAGTGAGACGTCTGCGAGGGAGTTCTGGAGTGAAGTGGACGTGCTCCGAGTGGCTGGACAACACCCAAATATTTTGGAGCTACGGGGCACGTACGAGACGGAGGACTGCTGGTTTATTGTGCAAGAGTTGGCTCAAGGTGGCGAGCTGTTTGACCATCTGGTGGCCAATGGAGCTTACTCAGAACGACAAGCTAGTGACACGATTCGTCAATTGTGTGATGCATTGCAGTACTTGCATCGCAAGGGAATTGTGCATGGAGATATCAAGCCTGAGAACATTTTGCTGCACAAAGGACGCATGTGTTTAGTGGATTTTGGCGTTTCCTTCCGTATGGGTGAGCGCTTCTTTTGCGACTCCCATTTGATGGGGACTGTGGCGTACGCGGCACCGGAAACACTGGAGCATGGTGCGTTGATCCATCGAAGGAATGTTAGAGATGAACTGAGAAAAGCCGGAGTGGACGAAGATGCTGCGCAGATGGACGAAAGCGATGAGGATCTTGATGATCAAGCGGGTCCGGATGCGATCAAGTTTGGACCCAAATCCGACATGTTTGCATTGGGCATTGTGCTCTACATCTTGCTGTGTGGCTCGCACCCTTTCGACACGTATAACAATCTACCTGATGAAGAGGTACGACGTCAGTAATATGTCGTAGCATAATCTGCTCTTGCTTATGCTTGTGTTTACTTGCGTAGATACGAAAGCGAATTCTCCAAGGAAAGTTCCGCACACAGTCCCGGGCGTGGCGATCTATCTCGCCATCCGCTCGTGATTTGATCCAGAAGCTGCTCGAGATTGACCCTAACAAGCGATTGAGTGCGGAGCAAGCGCTTCAGCACCCGTGGTTGCGTAATCAGTACCAAGTTAGCCCAGAGCCGATGAAAAACTCGGCTGAGCTGCTGGAAAAGTTCCAACGCGGACGTCGTCGCTTACGTGCAAGTATTCTGGCCGTTCTTCTGATCGATGCCATGGCTGAGAATCTGGACGAGGATGACAACCAAGAGCTGGAAAGTGTGAAGCGTACTTTTGCTTGGGGTCTCAGTTCAAGCGTCGAAGCGCTGAACGAGAAAACCAATGCGCTTCTTTCTACTTTGCACTTCTTCGACAAAGAGGGTAAAGGATTTATTTCCAAGAGTGATCTCGCGCGTGTGAGCGAGAGCTTGGGCAAGCATATGAGTGAAACTGAGCTGAACGAGATGCTTGTAGGGGCCAGTGGTGATCCCGAGCAAAATGCGTCGTCTGTAGAGGCTGTCGATTACGACAATGTGAAGATGACCATATCTACGCTGCGATCTGCGACTTACCGTCCTGGCGAAGCCATCATTCGTGAAGGACACGCTGGCTCGCACAACGTCTACTTATTGTTGGACGGTGAGGTCGAAGTTTCGTGTAAGAACCCCATAAAGAAGTCTCAACCTACCGACGAGACTGACGAAGATGCTTGTATCTCAAGCACATCGGCGTTTGACCGCACAGATAGCTTTACCGGGTCCGTGCCACGTCCGCCTTGGCCAGATTTCATTCAATCACGATCGAATACGTCGGGTTGTGAAGAGATGAAGCTCCGGTGTTTGCCGAAGGGAACATTCTTCGGTGAGATCGAGTTGGTGCGTCCTGATGGACGGTTCCTGCCTCGTATCGCCACCTATCGTTGCGCTGAAGGCAGCAGCACGCCATGTAAAGTGTTGCAGCTTGTGGCAGATGATTTTTTGAACCTGAAGGGGACGTATGAGTCGATCAACAACCGCCTTGAGAAAACCGCGCACCGCCATGTGCAGCAGCATTTGCTTCGATGTGTGGAAGCCGCAAAGGGGTCTGTAAAGATGCGTACGCTCGGTACTGGTGACTTCATCTACAGGGAAGGCGATCCGTGCGATTCAGTATTCATCTTGCTGGATGGACAAGTGGAAGTTCTGAAAGCAAAAGAGGGAGTCGTTGTAGAAGAGCTGAATCCTGGAGACTACTTTCCGCTGGGTGTACCAGGTCAAACCGAACCATGCAAGATTGCCACCCGTCACTCAAGTGTTCGATGTACTCAGCCCGTGAAAGTGGTCGAAATTGGTGGCGAGACTTTTCGCAGTTTCCTAAGCAGCAACAAGTTCCTAGCCGCATACTTCCGTGAGGAGGTCATGGTGCGGGAGCGACGGCGTCTTGATCGGTTGACGACGGCATTATAGTGCGGAAGGAAATAGAACCGTCCGAGAAAGCGGTGAAGGAAAGGAAGCATACACATAAATGTTGAGCATCGACTCGAATCAATCCGCAGTTGGCGGGCGGCTTGCTGTCGCTCGCAGATCCATTCGTCGCTTTTGTGTGGAGTCGGCTCAGCTTTTTCCGGTTGCATTCATTCAGGTGCGCATCAACTTGTTACAGCAGTCAGGTGTGGCAAGCGGAAGTGCGCAACATGTTGCAATGTCAGCAACCTGGACGGGGGAAATGCAACTTCGTGCGAAGAACTAGATGGATACGTTGTTGTGACGGACGTGCGAGTGGATGGAAATCTGGTGGGATCCTGCGTGCTATGTTTTGTCATTCGACTAACTCTCTGCGAGTCATCAAGTAATGCGTGGAGCGATCGCAAAACATTCGGGGACTAGAAAGCTTGCCACCATCCGCTGTAAGGTTTGCATCATCTTCAGTTGCTAAAAGCGTGAGATTCCATGCGGACGAAAATCACCACCCTCAGCTACAAGTACTCACGTCTTTCGGCAAGATTCCGTGGCAGCAGGTCTCATCCTTCCACGCAAGCCTAGCTCTGGTTTGTAAATGGCTGGATGGGAACCGTGCCGTTCAATCGATACCATGAGCATAAGAAGGCTGTACGATCCGCGGTATCCTTGTTCAGTCCCGAATCAATAACTGATCATTTGCAGCTTACCATACTACCCGGTGGTATCTGAAGCGACTATGGTCACAAAGCGGCTATGAGCTCGACAATGGCACAGTAAAGTATTGCGTCAAGGTACGACGATGCTGTGGTCAAGTGAACCGGGGCGTTAGGACGGCAAGTTGACGTTTGATCGAGCACTTGGGTCGGTGACTCCTCTGTGTGGCAGCACTAGTTGCACTTGTGCGATCGCCATGATGTGCTCGCAGACTTCCAGTCATGCTGGTTTTTGCCTCCACACAAGCCATTGGTCTCTGGCAGTCATTGCATTTCAAGCGGCTGTACGTCCAACAGCTGGAATTGCAACATACCAAGAGCCACCCGGTCTGCTGCGCGCAAATCAGCAATCTCACATCGTTGCCACCGCCATCAATCACCGCTGTATCGAATTTACATTTGCAGGACACGAGCTCTCCCGTGTATCTATCGCAGCTCGAAGTCGCTGCTGCTCATGTCGCAGGCGACGTTGAAGTTCCAGCATCCGTCCCAACGTCAGACATGGTACATTCGTGTGCACCACGCAATGGTACGCTGCGACTGTCACGTTTTCTACTTATTTTTCCAGCCAATTCCGACCCTAAATTAGGCACATTTCTAATTTTCAGCCCTCCCAGTGATCGATGGTGATGGTGCTGGCGCTCCTTCGAACAGCTACAAAGCGGGCGACTGGACGCGTCCCACTGCTGCAACCCCTCGCTGGCGCACGCACCTTCGCCTTCCGTCCACGTCGGAATGGCAACGACGACAATGACGACTCGTTGCAGGGCTCTCGACGTCGCAATTCGAAGGACTTGGAGCCTGAAGAGGAGACGGGCGACCTGTATGACCCGTATCGGGAGTACATGGAGACTACGGGCGAGCGTGGCTATCGGGAGTTCAACCCGGACAATATGGACAGTGAGGACTTTCATCGGGAGTGGGAGGAGCCAGCTGCAATGATGGACGACAAGTCGTGGCCCGCTACGACGGGCTTGTCTGATCTTTTCTTGGACCTGCTGAATATCCCAAGTGAACCACCGAGTGGCGAGAAGCTGGACAAGATCTTGAAGGAAGCGTTTGCCCGCATGGGCCACACGGGCCACATTGACGACATTAAGCTGCCGGAGATGGACGTGGAAATCCCAGCTGATCATCCGGATAAGGAAGCTCTTGATATCATGCAGTTGTCCATGATGAACAATGGCCGGCTGAAGATGGACGACAAGAACCAACTGCTTGCGTCGATCATTGACGAGCTGAACTACCTGCACAACGATAAGACGACGCTGTTCAAGGGACTCGAGGACATGGACGAGGAGAAGAGTTCGACGACGAGCAACGAGTGAAGATGAGAACGGTTAGTAGTCGAAGGACCGAGACGGCATTAGGGCTGTTCACGTGCATTTTTGTTGGCCAGAAGTACTGTGGAAAGATGAGATGACTTGGTTCGATCGTAGTCGTGACGTCGAACGAAGAAGGTGGGCCACCTCTCGAATAGCAACAGTGTCGAGTTTCCAAAGTGGCTGATATCAGCCAATGAACGAGCGTCGTTATCGTGTCGTGAATCCAAACAACCCAGAACACAACCCATGTCTGGGTTTTTCGATGCTGCAAGATCCCAAAGCATATGTTGACCCACGGGCTCACACCTTTTAGAAACTCCACCCATGTTTAGAAATGCAAACATGGTAGCGGACCCACCATCGTCGACGTCTTCTCCGGGGCGGCAGCGCCACATCTGGTCCACCCGCGTGCAGCGAGAGCTTGAGAAATGCCGCGTGGACGGTGCCTTGCCTTGTGGCGCTACCCTGCGACGTGTGCAGCTGTCCGAAGCCCGTGGCGTGTGCGAAGGCGAGTTCCATTGCTTCGTTCCCTTCGTCGACGGCTCCGACGCGCTCTCCTTGGTCCCGTTGACCGATTTGGTCATTCGAATGCCCTTTTCTGAACACTGTCTTGGTACGGGTCAAGTGCAGTACCCATTTTTAGCTCCTGAAATCGAAATTCGCCATGGCGCGATTTATCTACCAATGGAACTTCGTGAACAAAAAGGACCCAAAGTTGACGGACAAGAACCTATTTATCGACTAAAGTTACCTTTATTAGACCACTGGAGTCCATCGACGACATTGAAGATGCTATTGGACCAGCTGTTCCAGTTGGTCCAGCAGAATGATCCGACGCCGTCGACGCCAGTGGCGGACAAGAAATCGTCGACCGAAAATGGGCACAAAAAGGAGAAAAGGAAGCAGCAGCTTCTTCGGATGCGTAAACAAGACGTTCGTGGAAGGGTGTACCCATGTCAAGAGGTGGACTTTTCCACGTCTGTGGTGAAGCAGACGCCCATGTTGTTGCAGTCTGGAAACGTTGCGCTGCTCGCGCCATCGAGAGAAGTTAAAAAAGACGAGTTTGTGTACGTGCAAGAGCTCATTTCGCTGCAGGATGTGGTCCGCATCACTCCACAGAAAGGCAAGTCGTTGACGCTTTTTTTCAAAACGAGGACGTTGCCATGCCGGACGTTCTTGAGTCAGCACACGGACGAGATCGTGAACGATCTACGGATCATGATTGGTGAGACGAGTTCACATAAACGCCGTCACAATCAAGGTGGTACGGCGAGTAGAGCGGACTCGGCGACGCAATTGCTGCCGTTTCTGAGTGCCGAGCAATCGGAAAAGGCCAAGGAAATGTCGGCCAAGTTTATGGGTAAACTTGGAAAAGTGGCCACGTCGGTCTCGCGCTTTCTACGTGGGGATGAAGACGAAGCGATGGAACAACAACAGGCGGATCCACTTGCCAAGGCATTTGCAGAAATTGACGCGCAGAAAGAAGCGTTCTACCGTGTACCGTCGAAAGTCAGGGTGCGATTTCTGATCAAGTTTTTTCCTGTCGGGCCTGAACGCGGCCCCGACAGAAAAAACTGGTGGACTGTGCCCTACGTGGTATCATTCTGACGTTTTGTGTTATGTTCTTACTTGCAGATGACGGAGATCGCGCGGCGATACCAGTACATTGCGGAGGAGTATGCGTGCCACAACAACAAGGAAGGTCATGTCGAACGTGCCATTTCCGAGCTGCAGCTTTTCATCGAGCACCCCAAGACACAACGGATCCTCATGGAGACGCGTGCTTACGAGCAGTCCACGGCGGGTATACGTGTTGGTCCTGCATAAACGACGCAGAAGACAGGTTCCTTGCTTCACATGTATCCCTTTGTTTTATCTAATGCAGCTCCCTGGTGCTCACTTCATTCCTGCGTGATCGTGAATACAACCTTGCCCCGTACTCACTGCTCTACTCATCTTGTAGGGCTGGGATGGTGGACAAGTATTTCAGCATCTGCTTGATCGCCATCTTGTCGATGCGCTTTTTGTTCGCGTGCATTTGCTGAAGCTTCTTGTATGCAGCCACAATAAGTGTGTGAAAAGCGCGCATCTGCTGTTTGTCTCGGGTATTTCGTTCACTTTTGCCGCCGCTTGTGCTGTTTTTCTGTTGCGTTCTGCACTGTTGATCAGCATTCCAGAGATCTTGGCGTGCGGCGGTGAGATCGCGACGAGCTATGTTAGCTATGCCACGAAAGTACAGCGCGGAGACGAGTTTGCCACCTCGGAGAGCTAGTGCCTGCGAAAAGCACTGGACAGATTCATCGTGGTCACCAAGAGCAGATAACGCTTTGCCCATGTTCATGAAACAATCCACCGCAAGGTCGTCAAACGCAGCCAACAGCGATGTCTTCATGCGCAGTCGAATGCGAGAAAGCGCAACCCATTCGTCTTCTCGGGTGTCTGCATCGTAGACCACCTCAATTTGGGTGGACGCGCCGTTCGTTTCGACATCCGAGACCATCGCATCCTGCCAGTCACTGCCTCGATGCAAACGGACCCGCACGCTGGCTCCGATACTGCAGCGCGCTAATGTTTCGTCGACCGACAGAAGTTCCAGCGCAGTCTCTTCTCGAAGCTGCGCAGCTCGGAGCACCGCAATCGCGTGCCTGTAGAATGCGTGGGCAGTGGCATAGTTGCCTCGACGAAAAAACGCGTTGCCTTGCGTTTTGCAAGCCGTCGCTGATTCCAGACCAAGCTTCTCGGGATCGGCCTCGCCGTCTCGACCCCGTTCGGCGTCTGAAGGCAACCCTACGACACTCCCATGTTCGCACTCGAACGCATCGATCTCCGGGACAAGACGTTCGTACTGCGTCTCGCACAGCTTGCTCAGGTACTCGTCGTGCTCGAGTTTGCTCTTCTTTAGTCGTGCCTTCTCCAGAGCACCACGCAGGTCAGGCACCATGGGTAGCAAGACTCGAAAGCGATCATGTTCAATCAACAGCTGCAGCATCCGGACAGCATCGGCGACTACAATCGACACGCGACTCAGCATCAGCATCACAACGAGTTCACAACCAGCTCGTCGTTTGGTCTCGGCCAGCTTCACCATCTCCACGCTCGACTTGGCGGACAACTCCGACACTGCTGCTTCAAAACAAACCATCGACGCCACTCGTCTCCCGACCATGTTGAAGTGTTCCAGCAGCATTTCAGAACCGTCATCCGCTGTCGATTCCAACGTCACCTGCAAGAGACTGCGAAGCACGCCGGACTTCACAACCAGCTTTGCATGGTCCTTCGTACCCACGAGCCATTCCAACATGGCAGCAAGTCTCTGTCGTCGACCAGTGTCCCTGAACGTCACGTACATCTGCTTGACAAGCTCCAGGTACGTTTGCTCCTGGTCTTCACGAACCACCTTCACATCCAGGAGATCAACTGGACAACTGGCCTCGCTATTGAGCTGCAGTAGCCATTCAGCCATGGCAGCCAAGACGTCACTCGACACGAACCGATCTGCCAGCATCAAGCTCAAGACCGACTGCAAATGCTGCTCCGTAGCTGGACGTGTCGCTCCATGCACGCGGAAGAAGCTGGTGAGTAAGTGCCACTTGGCGACATGAAACTCCGCCGCATCGTCACCGTCAACAGCTTCGTATTGTCCAGACAAGAGATCGGTCTCGAGCTGGTCGAGCAGCTTGACGTCGTCAGGTAACGTCGTGGTCGGGTCCTGCTCAATGAGTGCCTGGAGATGGATCATACAGTTAACGTTAGTGCTCTTGCGTTGTTGGGTGTTGGCAGTGATGCGTGCGGCGAGCTCAGCGATGGACAGCGGACGCTCGGGATCCATGGGCGTCTCTCAGTGTGTTCCGTGGCCGACTGGTAAGGGGTTAAATCTTGATTTGTTCGGGCAGTACGGACTCTGGACACGGACATAGCTCGGTCGTCGATACCCTCAGAGTGAGTCAAGACAAGAGACTTGAACGCTTGCTGGTGCTATTGCTTGTTACTGGTTCGTGTCTGTGGCTGCAGTTAGAAAAACGAGTGGTTCGACCCGAATGGCTGGGAGAACCCGCCGCCTCCGCTACGACTGCCACGTCCATTCAAGCCGAAACCAGGGTCCATGTCATCGTCGTCGCGCGGCATACGCAAGTGATCAGGTCCTGGTCCTCCGAATGGCATCGGCGGCGCACGACCACGAGATGGTGGACCATGGATGCCACTTGGACCGAGAGGGTTCAAAGGTGGACCGAAAGGGTCAAAGCGAGCACCAGGCACGGGACCCATCGATGGGTCACTGCGATGGCCAAAGAGGGGATGGTCGGGTCCGACCAACATGCCTGGATTGCCGTTACCCCCTCCTCCAAGGCTCGGTGGGAACACGTCACCGCTCCCAACCTGACGGACGTCACAGCACAAGAGCTTGGGTGTTAGCTTGCAGACGGGCTGCAAATGATGTACCCGCTAGCGTGAGAACGTACGGGTGGAATACGAGCAGGTGATGACGGAATGCCAGAAGCTCCTCGATCATCACGGTGTGGCGGGTGCACGAACGCTGGACGACCTGCTGTCGTGGAGGTCTTCTCCTTCTTCTTTGCAGGTCGAATGCTCTCAGCGAATGGCGTCAACACCTCTCGCAATGTCTTGAGATCTTGGAGTAGGTCCGCCGCCGCGAGAGAAGACGTCGACTCGCTCGAGGCTACGTGCTTGTCCAGACTATCAAAGCCCCCAAGTTCTCAACTAGTCAACACAATATACACATCATCCATGTCTAGGACCAACACCTACCTCAATTCAATCGAGTGCGTATGGTCCTTGTCGTCGGACACGTACACCTCCAGCTTATCTCCAACGACCAGTCCCTGACTCAATCAAACGTCAACTCAATCTCGCAACAACTCTATATCGATAGTGCAGCATGCTACCTACGTACCTGGAGTGCGAACTTGATCGAGTCATCGTTCGGGTGAACGTACTCTGCATGAAAGAGTCCTTTGTCACTATCCACGTCCCAATCCTCAGGCAGGGCAAACCCCGAGGCCGCATTCCCTTTCAGCTTGTACCCTGTACACAACAAGCCATCAGCACAGCTGCATACCGCCGCTATCATCTCCTCAATCAAAAGCTGCTGCATTACCAGCTTCCAGCAACAGCACGTGAACTGCCAAGAAGAGCGCGTCTCGAGGCTTCTGCACCGTCACAGCCTTCGCCCTCAGCTGGACAGCAATACCATCATCTGTTCCAGTCTCTTGCTGCAATTCAATTGACGGCGAGGAGCTCGTGGACGTATCAAAAGCCCGTAACGCCGCCAGCATGTGCGTCTACATGGCACGAGAACTCCACAGTTAGTTCGTCTCTAGACACTCAAAGGAGACCGGAGACGTGGCAGTCCAGTTCCTTCATTGTACAGCAAGCTCGGACCTGAAGTGCGCTGTCCGAAACGCCTTCAATTGCAGCGTAAAGACGCGCTTGATCCCGTTGGAGCTGCTCGTCCGTCATGCTTCAGCTTCTCACGTGCTTCGCCACACTTGACACGAAAGAGAAGATGGGAGAATGACGCAACATAATTGGTGGAGCAACAGAGTGAGGAGCGCATGCTGTCCATTGATTGGCGGTTCACTTCAACATGGCCAACATGACATGGACGTTTCGAAAGGTGGTAGGTAGGTTTCCCAGCACAGTAGTTGACGGTTTTCATTCAAATGACTGAGTGCGTAGGCGAGTAGTAACTCATTGATCATCGTTAGAGCAAGACGTGTCCAAAGTGGTCGTCCAGCAGCCTCTGCAGTGCATCTGCAAGTCATTTGTCCACACAGTGTTGACAACAAGTTGGTTCAATGACAATCGAAAGCAGCCAAGAATAAACGCACCAGAGAGATCGTGGATAGAAGGGATGTTCTTGCTGTCGAAGAAGACGTAGATCTCCCGATGCGAAGACTCCGACTTCTTGGCGTAGATCCAACCAGAACAACGCGTATGAACGCAGAGCTCTCGATTGCCAGAGCTCCATGGTAGGTGTAGCTCTGCGTGAAGTGCGTTCATTAGCGCCATGGTTGACGTCGGGAAGTAGTGCGCCAACAGCTTGTCCGGAATCGGGAACACGTCGTCTTCCCTTCCTTTCAGCAGTCGCGGCACATTGTGTACTCGAAATGCACGATCGATGCGGTTGATGTACAGGAAGGGAGGAGATGGATGCACGGTCGGGATGCTGCAACAGAACAACAACAGCAAGAAGAATCTAGTGTCAGTCTTGGTCAAGCTACATCACGACATTGCGTACGGACTTCTTTCCAGGAGCAAATGTAGCCTCGTGTTGCGTAAGGATGAGCTGTGCCAAGTTCCGAAATCGTTGCTGATCCTCGAGATAGTCGACGACGTCCTCAAGCGCGGTCACTTGGAGAAGGCTTGACGCCGCACTTGCTGAACCAAGGTCCGTTTCGTCCAGACCGAGTAACGTGATCATTGTGAGGTCGGAGTCGTGCCAGATTGCTACGCACTGCTTTTCAGGTACTGATGTTGCTGTGGCGGAGGTGGACATTCTGTCGTGGGGGAAGATGACAGGACTCCAGATTGATTCGATATCACTCCAATCTCTTTCAGATGCTGATTCGAGATTCTTGAAGGGCATCTTCGCATAGTAACCATCTTTCATCATCAGTCCTGCATTTTGACACGACTTGGACCTGGTTCGTGCGTTCACGGCATTCTTAAACATGACAGGACCCACTTCATTGCACCGAAGCTTTTCAAAGCGAGACAATGATGCAGGAAGTTGAGACGGCACGCCATATTGAGCTGCAATTGCTGCAACACCAGAACCTGAAGCTGCGGCAGGAGCGACAACACGATTACCACTCGAGCGAGGTGGGGCTCCACGCAGAAATGTTGACAGTGATACAGGATGCTGATTGTGCAACGAGCGAGCTGTTTTCCGTATTCGGGGGCAGCCGTCTTCACTTTGAGCGACAGCATCGCATTCAGTGTACGAAAGCTTGCTGGACCAAACAGGGTTGAAAGTATCGTTGTATGCATTGGACATCCAGAGCTCGGGGTCATTGCTGCTCTTCGATGTTTGATCACGATGCAGTTCACCGAGATCTCGATGTACATTATCGTGGAGCATGGTCATCCCGCGTTCTTCGCGAAGCCAAAGAAATTTGTGCAGCAAATGCAGCATGGACGTTTCCATGGAGCTCCACAAAAGGTTGCCCTTGAAAAAGAGCGCCATGCTCTTCACACTGCTTGTTCCCATGCCATGTTTAAAAAATTGTGGCTCCGTCTGGAAGCCACTCACAAATGTCTGCAGCAATAAAAAAGTGAGCTCGTCCATTAAAAAATGCGAGATACCTTGCAACTCCAACAAGCTACTTGACCCACGAATGTCCAGGGAGTGCAATAGTGTGGGGAAGAACAAGGCACATTTCTTGTGCAGCAGTAACGCTGGAGATCGCACTACCAGTACCTCAAGCTCAGCCTCAGCTGCTCGCTCCGCTTCCGATAACTGCGCCAGTTTATCATCGCCATGCAGTAAGTCTGTAACTCTGCCCGTGTCGTCAAATGCCTGGTTACGAGTGTGTGCATCAATTGCGAGTCGAAACTTGCGTAGCTGCTTTCGCACTGCAGCGATGTGCATCAAGTGATCCATTCCATCAAACTCCTTCTTGTAAGTCGTGTCTGATGCGACGGATCGACCAGATGAAGGCAGGAGGAATCGCAAGTTGCTACAATACCACACCAGAAACAACGGTCAGAGACAAGAGCGAGGAGGCGAGCTCGAATCAAGCGACAACCTCCTACCTGTCGATGCTTCCGTGAAATAACCGGAACATGCCGTAGATCTCTCGTAGCAGTGCTTTGTATCCAGCTCTGTGGTCCTTCGATCTCGAGAAAAGGAGAAAACAGCGTGAGCATGCACACCCACAACACGCAGAAGCAAATGAGAACATGCAAGCGCAAACGAGGAGAGCAGAAGGAGAGTGATCGAGCAGCATTGGACACGAGCTCCTACAATTTTGTCTCTTGGGTGAACCCCCTACAACAGCAACAGCAACAACAACATGAATCGTCAACAACAACCCCCCACAGCAAGGTAGTCCAAGGCAAACCCACGCTTTTGTACCAGTGCCATGAAAATCTGCGGCTCCAGCTCCAGGATGAAAACCTTCCGTCGAGATAGTGTTGCACTCGTCCACTCGGGTATCCACGCCGTAGTTTCCACATCTGTACCTTTTGCTGAATCCTTGCCTCGAAGGGTTCGCACAAATGCCAGTAGACCTTGTACCAACTGAAGACTTGGCAAGAGTTTCGCATCGTCATTGTTGTCGTTGTAAAAGTACAGCACTCGAGCCCGACGCTCATCATCAGTGGCCTCCTCGTCGTTTGAGCCCAGAGCTTCGTGCCACAGCAACAACATGTTTTCGAAAGCCAAACGAGCTCTTGGCGATTGTTAGGAACCAACGAAAGCACGTACTAAAAGTGTTTGAAGGGATTCATACATTACATACGATGAGAGACTTGAGCGTTTTCCGAAGGACTGCGGTTCAGTTCAAACAAGGCGGCCTGCACTCTATCATTACAGCAACATCGTCTTTCCTGTCTTTACATCCAACTGAGGCCACCACGACGGTTGATACGGAACAACGTGGAAAGCACCGTCCTGGGTCGAGAATTTCATCGTTGGCACCATCTCCCCGTCGTCCGAAACGGATGGAAGCAAGTGGCTGAGACGCATCATGACAATAGCGCCGCTCACGTCTTTCCCGACGTTGTAGATCGTCCCGACCGCTTTCTCTTCACCCGTGACTACGACCTTGTCACCAATCGCAGGCACCTTCACATTCTTCCAACCCCTTGAGTCGGCCATGTAAGTCCGCAGCGCGGCGAGCGACGGTGAATCGAACGGCTTGAAAGCACCCTCCGACAGCGCTTTTACAACGTCGTGTTGCTCCGCAGGAACCAGTGCCGCGGGTACGATCCGTTTACGGATGTTGCCCTTAAACTGTGTGCGAGCTGTGAGCTCCTGACCAACGTAGCAGCCTTTGCGAAACGACACCCCGTGCAACATGTCAAGATTACACTCGAGTGGAATCCCATCGACCAGCTCCGTCCTGTACCACTCACAGCCAACTCGGTCAGTGTTACAACTCGACAGCAGCAGAAAAATAGCAGTACTTCATACAGCAAAAGCACCACTCAGTAACTCACGCTTCAGCGACTCCAAGGGCGATGCAACGGTCCACGTACGCCGACGGCTCCATCATCTCGTATCCTTCCGGCACATCCACTACAAGAATAGCACCAAAAACATTCGTCAACCGAATTAAACAATCACAACCCTGCTATCAGCCACTGCACAGCATCCTGTAGAATAAATCACGGCAAAAAACTGCTGTCTTTACCCGTAGCATCAACCGGGACGATTGCTCGGACACCAAACTCATGTCCACGCGGATCAGCAAACACGACTGCCTCACCCTCTTCTCCTGAAGCGTTCCACAGCTTCTGTAGCTGCTCGGTTACCGTCCCAAGAGCCGTTTCATTACGCAATAAAGACCCGGAATCCTTCAGCATCGCCGGCAGCGTCACGTAGAGCGCTAGCGCGTCCGTCTTGTCCTCGATCGCCACCTTCATCCGCAGCTTGTACCTCTTCCAGTGCTTCATCAGGTCTCCCGCCACGCCCTTGTCATAATCCAGTACAAACGCGTCGTCTTGCAGCTGCAGCACGTGGCAGTCGCCTATTACACGTCCTTTCGTGCTCAAGAACGCGCCGTAGATGGCGTCTCCACGCCTCGTCAGGTTCTTCATGTCATTGGTCAGCAGCGCCTGCAGAAAGCGCGACGCGTCAGCGCCTTGGAACTGCGTCAGGCGGCGACTCGCGAGCCGCGTCAGACCCGAGCGCTGCAATGGCGACATCGGCATGGCGGTGCGACTGTCGGACTACTTATCGACTACTTCTTTTTGTGATCGATTTCATCCAATCATCGACTGTACATTGTGTGGCTGCGTTTCTACCAATCAACAGCGTCGCTGCCGACTTCGACGAGCAGCTCCACTAAACCAGCATGGGGGAGCGCGGGTTTGCCATCAAGGCGGACGCGACCAAGACGGCGTGGGAGTCGGACGAATTCCCGCTGCTGTGTGAAGGATGTCTAGGCGAGAACCCGTACGTGCGCATGATGAAGGAGGCGTACGGCAGCGCCTGCAAGATCTGCGCCCGTCCGTTCACGGTCTTCCGCTGGAAACCTGGCAAACGCGCGCGATACAAAAAGACTGAAGTGTGTCAAACGTGCGCGCGGATGAAGAACGTGTGTCAGACGTGCGTGCTGGACTTGCAGTACCATCTGCCGGTGCAAGTGCGGGACGCGTTTCTGGCCAAAGAAGACGGTGGCGGGGACAGCCACGTGGCTGTGAACGTGCCGGAGAGCGACGCCAATCGCGAGTGGTTCTCACAGCAGCACCTTCGCATGCTGGAGCAAGAAGGAGCGGTCTCGGTCTACGGCAAAGCCACTGGAGCTGGGAGCTCGGCACTCTTGCGGATGGCACGTCGGGAGCCGTACTACAAGCGCAACCGCGCACACTTGTGCTCGTTCTATGCGCGCGGAGAGTGCAATCGAGGCGACGAGTGTCCTTATTTGCACGAAATGCCACGAGACAAGGACGATCCGCTGGCGAAACAAAACATCAAGGACCGGTACTACGGGAAGAACGACCCCGTGGCTGCGAAGATGCTCGGTGGAGATCAGAAGAAGAGTCAGCGCGATGGGAAACACGAGCGCAAACCTCGAGGATCTTCACTAGCGCTGGAAGGTGCAGTGAAGCCGAAACCGCCTCCACTTCCACGTGGACAGAAGCCGCCGCTTCCAGCTGGACCGCCGCCGACTGTGGCGTCGAAGGCTGAGGAAGAGTTGAAAGGCTAGGACTAGACTACGTGTCGTACCAGTGTTGCAGCGTTGCGCACGTTAAGGAATATTCTTTCATGCAGCGTCGAATCACCCCATCTCTTCACTGTGCGTACCGTCATATCACGTAAGTGCCAAGACCAGTCCGCAAAGGATACGGCCTCCGCACTAGAATTAGTCGTCGTGGAGCTTGACGCCGTAGAGCGTCAGTGCCTTCTTGCAGGCTGCATCTTGGGCAGCAGCAATCGTCCGTCCGACTGCACGTGCCACCTGGAAGTTGTTCACGTAGAGAGCTACAGCGTGTCCGCGAGGCTCGTTCGCTTTCGATTTTGTGGTCTGGCTGCTCTCAGTAGCCGCGTCGTCGTCTTTGTGTTTGGGACGCAGGACACCGGCTTTGGTGGCAGTATTGGGCACCTTGATGTTCTTGAACTGACACGAAACCCGACGCATGCTTGAACGGCCCCACTGGGTGATGTAATGCATGAAAACTTTACGCGCATTCATCCACTGCCGACGCCGGATGGCATCCGTGAGCCGTGGAAAGAGCAAGCACTCTAGGATCGAGCGCACTTTTCCAAGATCGCCCGGGTTTTCCATGAACACGGCGCCAAGAGAAGCCTCGAACACATCAGCCAGCACGTCTTCCACGTACAAGTTCCCATCCTTTTCGACAATGTTTCCCAAACGAATGAACTCCTCGTACCCAGCTTCACGCGCAACGATCGCCAGCTTTGTGTTTTTCACAAGTGAAGACCGCACTTGCGTTAGTAGATGCTCTTGGTGGTACGGAAAAGCGTCAACAAGAAACTCGGATGACAGCAGCTGCAGTACTGCATCGCCAAGAAACTCAATGCGCTCGTAGCTGGACTCGTGCCCGATGAATTCGTCATCGTCGATTTGAGGTTTCTGGAACGACCCATGTGTGAGGGCCTGCAACCACAAGTGCGTGTTGGCAATTTCCACTCCGGATCGGATGCTAAAGCGACGGTGCAGTAGCCTCGTGTGTGTGAACTTGCTCCACTTCTTGATAGCTGCCCGGTCCTTTTCAACATATGCCTTCGCCTCGTGAATGAATTCGTCCGTAGAAAGGTAGCACAATTCGCGCAACTCGGGATCGTGTAAATCCAACAGCTTGCCCAAGAATGCACGGCATGGCACAATGCCCTGGTCTTTGTAGAGTGCGCCGAGAAGCGCTTCGAAGCAGTCAGCCGCAATTTTCGCCTTGAACTCTTTGTTCAGTTTGGTCAAGTCGAATGCGCTCAAAAGCAGCGATTCAAGGTTCGCAGTCTCGGCCATTTTGCCAAGGTTGCTATTGTTCACAATGTCAACTCGAGTTTGATGAAGGAATCCTTCATCAGCGTCTGGCAGCTTTAGAAAAGCAGATGACGCTATGAGGAATCCAAGCACAGCGTCTCCTAGAAATTCCAGACGTTCATATGGACACAAATAGCGAGAGTGAAACTCCTCTTTGAAATCTCCTGAAAGATGCTTCGCAGCCACCTGCCTCAACAAAGAAGCATTGTCTCCTGGTGCCTTGTCCGGTGTGAGCACGTTTTCATCAAGCATTGCACTGCGCGACCTTTTTAGTGAGGCAACGTTTTCAAACACGTGCCCAAGACGGACACGTGATCGAGTGGCTTCAACTGTATTGACATTCTGCATGCCGAGGTCAACGTAGGATCCATGTGTGAAGGCTTGGCGCAGCAAGGCTTTGTCTTTGAATCGGATATCGTACGCCTGCTCGAAACTTGTAAGTAGCTTGAAATGACGCACATACTTCAATACCATGGGCATGGCACTGCCGACCTCGAACAGATCAGTGCGAATACCCGTGAGGTGGCATTCTGCCAGAGGCAGCTCTTCGAAAAGCGGCTCAACTTCAGGCGAAAGCTGCAGAAACTCTCCTCGTTCGCACCATTTGTGGATCTTCTTTGTTGACTTGGCGCCATCGTAGTTGCCTGCACCCTGGCTGCGGTGAGCAATCGCGCGCACTAGATACCGTCCATCTTTTGACACGACCCCAGCCTTCTCGGCAAGCGACTGGTTCTCTTCAGACTCTTTTTGCTCGACCAGAACAAGTTCGTCAACACGGAAGGCGCTCGGCTGGCCTTTTATGCGAGTGGAGACAATGCAGTCAACTAGCTCTCGGTGGTCGAATTGGGCAAGGAAGTCACGCACGGTGAATCGTGCACTGTTGTCGAGGTATTCCAAGATCTTCTGCACCGATAGCAACCGTCCAACAGCGTGACCTACACGGTTTGGTGAATGCAAGTCTTCACCACGAAGCAAAGGTTCTTCATTCACAGCAATAAACCGCGGCACCAAATGGTAGTCACCACAGATCTCCGACAAGTCACCAGTCGCATGCTCAGGGTCGGAAAACACACAACCAAACAAATGAGCTGGTTGAATCCCCAGGAGTTTCTGGAACACATACTGCTGCAGTAGAAACAGCGAGTCGCAGAAAGATCGATGGGCCTCTCGGTTCAACTCAGCGTCCATACTATTGCTCGCTCCTCCCCGCACTGACGACGGCAGCTCTTCCGGCACAAATTGGATGGTGCACATGACTCCTCCACGCGTGTACTCAAACTGGAACAAAGTAGCAGACAGCAAGCTCGTGAGTGCCTTCAACATTTACCACACTATTGGCGCAACAACATCACGTCCTCACCCTCGGGACTTCTGGCGGATCACCGTGACACAATAGATAGAACCCATCGAAGATGTAGACGTCACTCTTGATCACAATGGTCGTTTGGCGACGGCAGCGCGGGTTTACTGGCAATCAATCAATACGCAATACAAACAGATAGACAAACAGACAGAGAGATCCGCACATGTCCGTTAGAGCCTTCCTGTCCTATCCACCCCTTTGTTAGTGTGCTCACTACACTCACTCTCTGACTCCCATTGCAGCCGAAAACACTTGGTAGCTTTGCAGTGGTAAGAGACACGCAGCTGGTCGTCGTCAGCGCTTGCTATCGGTAACTGAAGGGGTACTGCAGAGGGAGTAGCCACTGGCTGCAACGGAGTGGCAGGGACTGGCAGTGGCGACGTCTCGGTGACTCTACGAGTGTCAGTAGCAGTGGTCGTAGTAGACGCTGGTGCGTTCAGGAACGACGCATTCTCGTGCTCCATCTCGAGCCCGATCGAGACTTCGTCCATCGTCCAGCGGTTGCAAGGTTCAAAGTGACAGCTAGTGACCACTGATTAGGGTATACTAGACCTACTGAGCAGGGCGGTAGTGAGGAGAGAGCGAGACGGTAGAAGGCAAAGATGAAATGCTCGTCTGCAACGTCTGACACGTGGATTTTAGCCCTCATCAGATGACGAGTAAAGTAAGTAAATGCTGTGCGTGGCACTCTGCGCTGGGACGGTTGAGAACCTGGTTTCTACACAAAGTACTTGCCTTGCTTGAAGCAGCTCATGCACAACCGATGACGCAGCTTCTTTGCCCCGCACAAGGGACACACTTGAAAGTGCACAATGTTCTTGAGCCGCTTGCTCAAGTCGTTGTTCCGAATCCGCTTGCGTGACGGTGTCACCTACACAGCAACAACAAAACAAGAGCAGCCATTACAACAACAACAACAACGAACGCAGTGTGCAGTCAGCCTTCTCTCCCTTCTAACACAATCCAACTTCCTCCCACTTTTCATACACATCCAAGAACTATCCATGCCAGCACTCCAGCTCCGAGCGCAATCTCAACTCGGCAGATTCATGTGTAGCCATTAGCGTACTTAGACGTCGTCCGAACTCGTACCTTGGATTTGGGAGCAGCCAGCCAGATAAAGTCGTTCAGCAGGTTTGAAGACAGAGTAGAAGACGATGCATCGCTGGACGTCAGAGGAGCCAGTACCGGTACTGGATTTGGCAGCTTTGGGAACATGGTGCGCTGCAGGAACCGCTGGATCGCCTCACGTACTTGCGTCGCCGCCATGTTCGGTCCGTGTCAATGCGTGCGGCCCACGAATTGCAGGAATACCGGTTCTTGCAACATCGACGGTTTGAACGGCATAAACTCTTTCGGTTTTGTACCGGTTTTAGTACGAGGACGACGTGGTGTGGTCAACACCATGTCGATTGACAGCAGAAGTACGACTGGCATGACGGACGTGGTGCTAAAGGAAGTACGACGCCAAGTGTGCGACGCGCAGGAGCAATGGCGACGTGCGTTTGTGGACGGATTGGAGGATAAGGAGCTGCCATTTGTTACGTTGTCGTATGCGCAGAGTATCGATGGGTCGCTGGCAGTGGAGAGAGGTGCGAAGCAGAAGTACCGCTTGATTGTTTACGACAGCAACATCTGATTCTCCCGAGTGACGGGTTGTTTATAGGTAAATCAACATTACTGAGTGGACGTGCATCACTGAAGATGACGCACATGCTACGGACGCTCCATGATGGCATATTGGTCGGTGTGGGGACTGTGATTGCAGATAACCCGTCGTTGAACGCCCGGTTGATGGAAGGTATGTAGTGGACTGACTGCAGAGTTGCCTCGAGTTGGGACCATTGGGGAGTGAATCACTGACTGAGTGTAACTTGATCACAGGCCGCAATCCGCGACCGGTCATTATTGACACGCACCTGCGCTGCCCTACGACGATTAAGCTCTTCACACTGCCGACGTGTGAGAAGCCGATCATCATTTATGGCCGCGGGTCGCTGGATCCAGGTAACGAACGAGTCATAATGTTCTTGTCGCTGATGTGCTGAGATATTGATAATGCTCGTGATGTGGTGCTTGCTGCAGAGATATTGAACCGGAAGCGAGCGCTAGTGATGCTTGGGGCTACAGTTGTTGAAAGCGAGACTGCACTTGGAGATGACGGCCGCAACTACGTCGATCTTCGTGATGCTTTTCGTACGTACATGCAACAGACCTCTTGATACCGTCAACTGCATCAGAGTTAGTCGATTCATGATCTTCTTTGCAGGCATCGCAAAGCAGAACGGTATTGGCAGCATTATGGTCGAAGGCGGCTCAGCAATTCTGACTTCGTGTCTGCAAGGAGCTGCTCAGCGACAGCTCATTGGCGTCGTGATTGTAACGATAGCGCCTACCTTTGTACGATGGGTTTACATGCATGGACGCGCGTATGAGATGTATCTTGCTGACCCCATTTTGATGCAAATAGATTGGAGGTTTACGAGCCGTCAACACCTTGCTCACACCTGCGTTACCGGCTTCACCTGCAGCAGGACCATCCTTTCCTCGGCTGGATCAACCTCGCTACCACATTTTGGATGAAGACGTGGTCATCTTCGGCCATCTCGCCCACTGATGAAGATATCCATGGCTACACTCAACACAGCGACGGTTTTTGACACTAAGATGGGAGACCTCTTCCGTCTCCGATGCGAAGATACATACAGTCCGTCTGTTAAATGTGTCAAGCAAGTCGTCGTCGCATGCTGTCACGAGTGGGAAAAGCCAATGACCGAGCAGATTTCGTCTCAGTTTGTGTGGATCAGGTCTGATAGTAGAGCGCGTCGCTTCGAGAGGCATCACCCGCCTCCCATCCCTCCGTCCCTCTTGCATACAAACTGCAAGTCAATTGACTTTCGACCAATCATCAGCTCGCAAGTTTCTGGCTGACGACCGCGCGAGCAATCCAAAGATCATGTGGCAGTCGCTTTCTTCGCGAGTCTCTTCTTCCGCTATCTTCAGTACGTAGAGCACCCGGTACGCGCTCACTTTCTCCCTCGTTTCGTTCCAGTCACGACCATGTCCACTGCTGCTCCCACGAGCTCGGATTCGTCGCTGCCCTCCGCTTCCCAAGAGCTCCAGCGCCCACGCCGCCTATCAGTGACGACTGCAAACGCGCTAACGAACTTTAGCGAGCTGCAGTCGCATTTCTATGGCCACCGCCTCGTGGTGTTTCTGGACTACGACGGGACACTGACGCCGATCGTGAACGACCCGGCGCTGGCTCTGCTGTCGCCCACGATGAAGCACACGCTCGAGAAGCTGCGCGAGCAGTTCATCGCGGGCGTAATCACGGGCCGATCGCTGGACAAGATCCAGAAGTTTGTCGGCATTCCGCAGCTCTATTACGCTGGCAGCCACGGCTTTGATATTAAAGGGCCAGATGGGACGTCGATCAAGAACCAAGTGGCGACGCCGTTCCTCGCAGACTTGCGGGAGCTGCGGGATGAACTCCAAGCGCAGATCCAAGACATTGAAGGCGCAGAAGTGGAAGACAATGTCTTTTCAGTGTCGCTGCATTTTAGGTGGGACGTTGTCGGTTGAGCCGCTCGTGGTGGAAGCGGAGAGATCTGACTGAGTTGTGGTATGCTGTTTTGGTGTGTTGTATTAGAAATGTCAATCGAGCCTTGTGGCCGCAGATGTCGAGTATCGCGTACACTGGGCGGGACCAGCATCCACGTATCAAGTACGACAGAATCAGTAGCTTGTTAGCTTGTGGTGAATGCGTGCTGACTCTGGGGATCGTTGTCCGTCTTTTTGCTGCATAGACTCAACGAAGGGAAAATGGTGTACGAGTTCAAGCCCAAGCTCGACTGGAACAAGGGGAAAGCGCTACTGTGGCTCCTCCAAGCTCTTGGACTGGACGGGCACAATGACGTCTACACTATCTACATTGGCGACGACACCACCGATGAAGACGCGTTCCAGCTCTTTCGCGCCCATGATGCTCGCAAGGGCGTCGGGATCATTGTCACCGAAGAGAGCACGTCCACGGACGCGTCGTTCACGCTGCGTGACACGAACGAGGTGTGCGAGTTTTTGAACCGTTTGATCGCATGTGGCGAGGGATACAAGAGTGCACCGAGCAGTCCCCAGCCAGCTAACCCGTCCCCGGCGCAGTAGTTTGCTCGGCAAGACTTGAGCTGTTGACGACAGGGCTCCTGGCACAGTTTGACTCCACATCGCGCATACTTGCTAGCGCATGCTCTTGCACGCATAATGCATGAACAAGCTCGTCGCTGCTACCAATGAGCAAGTTAGCGTGTTGACTGCATGAATAGTGTGTAGCGCACCATAACGGAAGAAGTCCCGCGTAAAACCACGTGGTTCGACCACTTTGCCGTGTGACAGTATCGTTTGATCTCAATTCCAGACTCGCCATCTACCGATGATATCCCTCAGACCCGCGATACTGACTACGAAACCAATGACTTGCGCTGTACTACGTCGCCTCTCCCGACCAGTTCCTCGTGCTGTCACAGCTATCCGCTCACATCTTTCGGTCATAAAACCGGTCTTACCATGCAAGAAGACCCAGCAAGGTGAGCTCCCATGTGTGCAGCTTCCAATAGTTGCGGTTCGTGCGCTGTGTTGTGCTGACTGAATCCCGATGAACTAGGACCATTTGAGACCAGCGCCATACAAAGGCGACACTTTTCCAGCTTGACATCCACTCGTGGACATTTGAAGGAATCATCAGTCGCACAGGAGGTTCGTCCAGCTGGTTGTGTCGTTGACATACCAGGCATAATTGACTGATGTGGAGGAGATCTGTGCAGCTCTTGGGGCTTGATGGGCAACAGCACAATCGTGACTTCTTGACGTTGCGCTGGCGTGATGGCAAGCAAAGTAGTTTCCATCTGCTACATCTACGGACGTGGTGTCAGTGTGCAGAATGCGGCCACCCGACAGGGCAGCGAGTGGTGAGCTGTGCCGAGATCAACCAGGACAAACTGGATATTGAGATGGTTTGTGGTACGTCGTACTGCTAGTTTCAAGTTCCTGATGTTGTTGCATGCTCTGTGCTGTGGAAAGCGTCTTGACGGTGAGTGTGCCTTTGGTCTGTTGCTGCACAGTGCAGGATGAGACGCTCAACATCGTGTGGAACGACCAGCACAAGTCCAGCTTCTCGACCCAGTGGTTGCTTGACAACAGCTACTCGGAATGGGCACTGGACCAGCGCGCCCGCGAGATGGCGACAACGCCTTTGCCACTTGATGCTCCTGTTCTGTCGACCGAGTTTGCTCGTATGATGGACACGAACAACGACGAAGGTCTGTACGAAGCTCTTCGCCAGGTCATTGAACATGGTTTCACGGTGATTCGTAATACGCCATCGGTGTCGGGTGTCGTCAAGTCGATCGCCGAACGCATTTCTCCCATCTCGCACTCGTACGTTGCGCTGTCATGTACATGATCGTGTGTGAACAGGCAACGGTTTTACGATCAGTGTCGTGCAGATTTCAGTATGGTGATGTCTTTGACGTGGTGGCAGAACCAAAACCGGTAGGGGTTTGCTTTGCAGCAGTTGGTCCTTGATAACAGGATCGAGCCGAGCTTAATGACGTTATGCGTGTTCCCGACCAGGTCAACATCGCGTACACGAGTGTTTCTTTGAAGAACCACGTGGATTTGGCGTACTACGAGTCTCCTCCAGGGTTCCAGTTCTTGCACGCACTGCGCTTTGACGCATCAGTGAAAGGAGGTGAGTCGACGTTTGTGGACGTTTTCGCCGTTGCAGAGGACTTCCGTCGTCTTCATCCGGAACACTTTGCGACATTGTGCCGTGTGCCCGCGACGTTCATGAAGCATCACTTGACTCGCGAGCAAGCAACGATAATGGAGTACCAGCGGCCTCACATCCAGGTCAATCACCGTGACGAAGTTGTAGCAGTGCACTGGAGTCCACCATTCGAGGGACCACTTCGGGTACCTTTCCAGAGCGTCATGCCATATTATGACGCCTACCGCGTCTTCCACGATCTAGTGGAAGGTAAAAAGCATTGCTACGAATTCAAGCTGAAACAGGGGGACACTGTCATCTTCAACCAGCGCCGAGTCCTGCATGGACGAAAGCAATTCACCCCATGCTCGGATGGGGTGCGCCATCTCCAGGGCACTTACATCAATATCGATGACGCGATCTGCCGTTACAACGTCTTGCGCACCCGGTTTGGTGCCAATGACCCCACTGCCGCGAATCGTCGTGTTGCCAACGGGAATTTCTCGTAGATACATTTGATGGTGGATTTGCCGCTGCAAATGCAAAGGTGTCGCTTGGTCAGCAGCAGCATCACGTCAAATCGATACCCGATGAAAACAGCAAAATGCCTTCAACTATCGCATTAAAGTTTACATAGTTGAGGTACTCGAAATAGATGTCAAATGACGAAAAGTCGCACCTCCACTTTTCTTCGGTCTCAAGGGTACAATTGCATGCTCACTAATGACGCATTCTGATGGCATCGTAATCTGCGTATAGCTTTCTCCACTTCACATGTTTGGCACGTCGAAGATCAAATCCACGACGTATATTCAGTAATGTTCTCTCGTGGCATTAGCTTGATGCCTTGGAAATCTACTCGCTTTTATACTCAAACGCCAAGGCGGATATGATCGTCGCAATAGTGTGACGTCCTCGCGTCCACGTCGTAGAAGCTGCTAAAAGATGACCATGTACAACTTGCAAGGCACGTGTCTCCGCTAAATCCACATTTAGCTCGTAGATTAGTTGCGCCATTCAGCTTGCCATTGACTGCAGGAGAAAGCAGGGATGAGCACCGTGTCCACAGTTTCACATCGTATGCTATCTGTAAACTCGTACCGGTCCTGAACCAAGTCGCCGTCAGCTTTACTTCGCTCGCAGTAAAGACAATGTCCAGGTGAATGCCACAGACATTGAGACCTACGCACTTTGTCATTTGTCAAGCACAACAATTATGCGTGAGCAATCATTTTCGTAAATTGCTTTCTCTGTCGCATAATGGCTAGTGACGTGCAAAAAGTATGACTAAATCCGGCTTCGTTAATCGCCAGCAGATGAATGCCTACGAGGTCTAAGTCTTGCATTCTCTTGCCGCCTGAGTGCATGAACTCTAAAAAATCGATGTGCTTCACCTACGTGTAACTTCACAAGTCATCTCGATTCAGTTCCTACACAATGTGATCTGAACGAACTCAGATAAGGTGGCGCCGCATGTAGTGGAGTACAGAATGGTGGTAACGACGTATGGGTTAGAGATTGCATGTCGCCCACGTATTTCGATGTACCTCAATGACTCCTATCAAGGTGATGCTTTAAGCGTAGCCCGCTGCATCATTTCAGCCCTAATTACAGGGCCAACGCAGGCGTATAGCATTAGTAAAAGGCAGTTGACTCTAAATGGCTGATGTGGGCTGGCACGTCAGCTCATAACCCAGACCTCCGCAAGATCGGCGAACGCCGAATCTACCGATATTAAGCTAATTTCGGTATTTCACCTGGTCTCAAATTCGGCACCGACCAAGGTTGATCAAATGCGCATCCTTGTAGCAATAGACATGGAGTAATAGAGCACGTGCTTGGCAGGTTCCCATGCATCAAGAAGAAGCGCAATTCGTTATTTCTACAGGCGCGTCAGCAGGTCAAACCTTTTTGTCTGGATACTCCTTCCGCTGCCGGACAAGTCAAATTTGTGCGCCGATTGTCCTTCTCCCACTTCAATATGAAGAAATCCAAATTCACTGACATTGTGTTGGCGAAAACGGTGGCTAGTCAGCAGCAGAACTATCGCAGACAGCGGGACGAACCGTCCAACACGCATCCCTGGACGTCGTTCCAGCCAGTATTTAACATCTTCTCGTGATCATGTTGGTCAATCTTGGTCTTGACGCAGTCTTTGACAACGTACTCTCGGCACAGTGAGCGGTGATTGCTCTCGATCTCCTCGACCTGCTCCTCCGACCAGAACTTCGCTGTATAGGGCGGCTTCGGTCGAGTACCTTGGCTACAAATGTACGCGGTGGCATCTGACCAAGATGGGTTGGCATGACCGCAGTCGAAAGCGAAGCGAAACAGGCTCTTACATATCACGTTCTCCCTGGGCATCGCAACATACCCTCAACGATATGGAGGATAAATTCGCTAATTTCCCCCAAAACTTTCTGCTTGTCGTCCAGACTGAGTTTACCGAGTAGGTCGCGGACGAATCATCCATGATCCTCCATGAAGTTGATCAAGTCTTCCGCCGGTAGCCTCCTACGCAGGGATCGGACGTCATCTGTACTGACCAGGTTGAGGTCGTAGGGCAACAGATCGGCGGAGCTGTGGGAATGCACAGCCGGCATACCATCTGATCAACGTCATTCCACTGCTGCAAGATGACCATGTCATTTGCCTGGATCTTCGTAAACGTCGCGTGCACCACGACCGGAACTGCCGCAGCAGTCGCTACTTCGATATACCAACCTCGGTAGGCGCATCGACGGGCTTTGTCTCCTCAATGTGCGTCAGCAGACACAAGCGCTTGTCCAGCACTCAATCGAGCGTGTTGCCCATGTGACGCCAGCAATTGGTCAGCTTCGGACACGCCGAGCAAATGTCGTCGATCGGATTCACCTGACCGAGAAGTGCACAGCCCATCGGTTCGTTCCCTCAACGAATATCCCATCTTCAATCATGGCTAAACTGCCTTCATGACGATATCCATCTGGTGCGCAGATCACCAGAAGCGCACGACATAATTCGTCGCCTGCTGCTTGAGTAGAGTGATGACTCCACCGCGCCAGCCTGTCATGGTGTTCTCGCCATCCGAAGAGAGGCCGATCAGTTTATGGCGCCAGCCCAAATTGATTAAGTCCACGACCTTTGTGATCAGATTGACCTGGTTGACGGCTATGTGCCGGTCGAAATAGGTATGGCCAGCAAATGCAGGTTGATGAGGAGGCTACCAACCGCCATACGCAAAACGTTGACCCATTAATGAAATGAGCATGTGAGTGTTCGTGTCGCACGCAACGAGAATGCGCACATGGATGAATTTGCCATCAGACCACTGAGATGCTGCGTGGCGACCGCAAAGAGAATAAGGACGTAGCTGCTGATCAAAACATCGGTCACCCCAGTCAATTTTGCATTCTTCGTGAGCCTTTGGTGTTGTTGAACGACGGTGGCAGTCTGCCTGAACGATATCCCGGATGACATGTGATGAATTGTGAGCTGATACGTACGTGATATGTTGATCGTGACATTATATCTGCCGTCTCCTGATGCCGAAACAGCTTTATCGCTGTGTCGACCAAGATAGTTTCGTTCTTGGAGTTAAAGAACAGATCTACAATCAAATCCTTGACAATGAGCGAACATTTATTGAATGCAAGTGTGGAGCTCGCGTCATCGAAGAAGAAGAACAACGAGTCCTTGAACTCCGGCCGCTCGTTAAATGAACTTTCTAGTACTCGAATGAGATCGCCTTGTACTCGGTCCACTTGACTAAGTGAGCCTCTTTGTTATGGAATTGGTAGTTGTCCGTTCTGTAGGTGGTGCAAAGAGTTTGATGTTAGGGTACGCTTGCGTTTGGCACCAGAAACCTGCTTCCTGTAACGGGGCACCCTAAAGCTTGTACTGGTCACAGTACAAGCTACTTATTCTGATGACAGAATAAGGCGGTGCCTCGGAACTTCACGTACACTCGTACGTGCAGAGGAAGACGGTAAGAAGAAGCGAGTACTTGGTTAAAGTAAAAAGTAGAACTGTATTTAGCATAGTTAAAATCTGTTAATCAATCACTATTTATCTTCATCTAACTATGTCTAAATACAAATGTGTAAATCAATTATCTGCTCACCACTCATTGCGTGCGTCTGTCGTGGCGCGTCTTCGTTGGTTGATATAATGGCCTATATTAACCAATTAGGAACTACTCGTAAGTGCTACAGAATATTTGTCCTTATGACAATATTCTGAGAATCTATAACTCTTATAGTTATATTCTATTAACAATTTCTTATAAATTGTTATGTAACGATTCACCCCGTTACATCACCCCCCCTTAACCATCAGTCACTTTAGTGACTGATTGACTAAATGGATACTCGTCCCAAATCATTTGGGACAGGGTTTGCACTTGTTGGTCCGAGTCCACTTCCCAAAAGTTCATCGCATGGTAAACAAGCCCATGCGATGCGCGAGCAAGGCCGCCGAGAGCGCGTCCGCACGTCTCTGTGCGGACGCCGGAGCAGAAACCACAGCAACTGATGTCTCATCGGTTGCTGAAGCGACCCAGCCTGTGTCACTTATTGATGCAGGCGCTGGTCATGAAGACACTCATGTCTTCACAGAGTATGATCTCGGTGTCTCATACTCTCCTGATACGGAAGACGGATCCGTATCGACGGCGATCGAATCCAAGCCGCCTGCCAAGCGTGGCATGGACGATGCTTTGCGTCGTAGCATCTTTGGTTCATCTGATGAACCAGATGAACCATCGCTGAAGCGAAGGCGCTCGAGGTCGCGAGACTCGGGCGCTAACAGTGGTGTCGGTTCTCCTATGGACACCACTTCGCAACGAGGTGCCAGTACTTCTGTCGGCACGTCGCAAGAAGAGCGGGACCGCAGTGTGTTGCGTCTCGCTCCCGAGAAGAAGGCCTGGATGCCTCCTGAATCCGTCATGGATCACTTGTCGGCGACGACGAGTGATCGTTATCGAACACGATTGTTCGATTCATCAAGGATCCATCACCTTGACCCAGTGCGAAAGACTATCACACTGAGCACGAATTCTTCATCGATGCTTTCTTAAGCGTCGATGGTACAGTGGGAATCACAAACGTTATGGTCCCTCACTGCTTCAGGCGTGGAACGCCTACATCCATAACCTTGAGGATGTAGGTCGTGACGTTTGGAACGACAAACTTATCAAAACTCGTGATAAGTTTGCAAAGCGAACCCCGACAGGTGCACGCTACAAGCTACATCGTCTGTCAAGGGAGAAAGGATTACCCTGCCTCTCTTGGGGAGACTCGTGCCCATGTTGTGTGAACAACTCTGCACGAGCACCTAAGGAGGCTTACCTCCTTACCAGCCCGTGGTGGCGCGTACGTATCTCTACTGAGATGTATGAAGGGATTAACAACTTGAAATCCCTTTACGACCGTGCCGGGAAGACTTTCTCCGGCAGTCCTTCTGCGGCACAGGATGTGCCGCGTCGTACTGCTCAACCAGACCCAGTACGTCGATCATCAGTTGGGAGCGGGGCTCCCAAGAATCCCAGGACGGGGGATAGCCGCGCCACCGAACGAGATAACTCGTCCGACGTCCGTTCACGTCGCGGTGGTTCAACAGCTGCTCAACTAGATAGCGCTGGCCACCGCGAGAGTCCTCTAATGGAGGTGGAGGAGGAGGAAAGACGCTCTCCACACGATCATGGGGATCCGTGTGTTCCCGAGAGCTTCTTTGATCGCGTAACGCAAGGGTTACGCGACGATCTCGAACATGAGCGGGACAGGCGTCTCCAAATGGCGGACACTGCCTCGAAGCATCGAGCTGAGTTTGCCTTTGCTCAGCTTGAGATCGAGAGATCTCTGACATCTCTTCGTGACGAGCTAAGGGTAGCTCGTGGGATTGTTGATCGGTCTCGGGATGAGATAGCTGCTCTTCAGACCCTTGTTGATGCCCACCATCGGGAGCACAAGGCTCTCTGCGAGATGCTTGAGCGCAAGGGCGTTCTTCATCGGAAGAAGCAGCGTACTGATGGTACGGCTTAAGCCGACCAACGTAAAACGTGGGATGCGTTCGCATCTTACGTGGTAACTCGATCGTGTATGCATTGCCTAGGCGGTGCAATACACGAAATGGGCCGATGTACTTGGGTAGTAGTTTACTGATATCCAAGTTAGTCACTACATGCTTTGGTAGATTAACCGTAGACAGTAGGACTAAGTCACCTTTATTAATAAAAGAGTGTTTGCCCTTCCATTCTTGTCAGCGTTTTGCTTTTGCTTATCCACCGCTTCGGCGATGGAGTCTTGCACAAAACGGACTACCGTTTCACGAGCCAGTATGAACTCATCTGATGACTCGTTAGCTTCAGTGCGCTGTGAGCGCACTGCAGCAAAATCAACCTTTTCTTCAGTGAGGGCTTCCGCACTCTCACTGGCATCATCTTCTTCGATATCGATGTTATCGATATCGGCATCAAACGCAATGACTTCTTCGTCAGAGCGTGATGAGCGTGAACCAAATCGGTTTTTGTTCGCGCGAGTCTATCCCCCCCTTTAACCAGAGTTACACTCTAGTAAGGTGGGTACACGCGGATGGCGCAAGCCATTCAAGTAAAACGGTGTATGTGTCGTGGACGCATGCACCGAGTTGTTAATGGCAAACTCGACCATTGGCAAAAACTCACTCCAACTCGTAAAGGAGTGTACGTATCCTCGAAGTATCTCTTCGAGGACACGATTGGCTCGTTCCGTCTGACCATCTGACTCTGGATGATCAGATGTCGACATCTTCAAGCGCGTTCCGAGTGATTTGAACACGGAACGCCAGAAATCAGCAGTGAATCGTGGATCTCTGTCTGATACGAGTTCACGGGGCAACCCATGAAGTCGGAAGATGGTGTCAATAAAGACACAAGCACAGCCACTTGCCGTGATTGTCTCTGGTACAGCCACAAGGTGTACCATTTTGCTGAATCTGTCAACAAATACGAGAATACCCGTATTCCCGCGTGCGTCTTTGGGTAACCCGAAGACGAAATCCATTGAGATGGATTCCCAGCACTCAGCCGGAACCGGTAGAGGCTGTAAAGGTGCACGCAGTGAAGGGCTTGACTTCACTCGTTGGCAGACTTCGCATGCGCGAACATACTTTCGCACAAACTGATACTGGCGGGGCCAGTAAAAGTCTCGACTTACCGTGAGATATGTTTTCTCTCGGCCACGATGTCCTCCTATGGTAGCATCGTGATACTCGAACATGATCCGCAAACGCAGATCAGTATCATCTGGAATGACAACACGTGGTGTGTCACCAGAAACGGCTGTATAATACATTAAACCGTTGCGAGTAGTGTATCGATCTGATGCAGATCGATACGCAGGCGACAATCGTTTCAACGATTCTCGGGATGGTTGAGAGAGATGTGTCAACAACTTCACAATCTCACCATCTTGGGCGTATGCCCGCCTCACATCATCATACAACGTTGTAGATGGGACTGAGGACGTCATAACCGCAACAGTGACTGTCTCACTGTTGGGTTTCGCTACTGTTCCATAGTCGGGACGACGTGAGAGTGCATCAGCGACGACATTAAGTCGTCCTGGTTTGTACTCGACCGTAGAGTTGTATTCTGCAAAGAATGACAACCACCGCGCCATTCGTTGTGAAAGGTGCGGGCTGTTCACTGCCGTGCGTAATGACGCATGGTCAGTGTAAACAACGAAGGGTATATCTCCTAAGAGATAGACTCTGAACTTCGCGAGTGCATACTTCATGGAAAGGAGTTCCTTGTCATGCACGGGATAGTTCCGCTCAGCTGGTTGCAGCTGACGCGACTGATAGCAGACGACGCGTTCAACGCCTTCTAGGTCGTACTGCATTAATGCACAGCCGATTGCGAAATCGCTGGCATCACAGACCACATGAAATGGCCTGTCCTGATCGGCTATTGCTAGGACTGGGGATTGTATCAAGCTCTGTTTGATACCATCAAAGGAGCGCTGACATTCAGCGTTCCATAACCACCTCTCGTTCTTTTTCAACAAACGAGAGAGGTGCACAGTCATCTCGGCGTAATTGCGTGAATACATATGCAAATACGCCGCTAGCCTAAGAAAGAATTTTCGAAGTCCTTTGACATCAACCGGCACAGGCCAGTCGGTGATCGCCTTGATCTTTTCGGGATCAGGACGTACACCGTTCTTACCAACGATGCACCCAAGAAGTGGTATTTCGCTTGCTGCAAATATACACTTCTTGAGGTTAGCATACAATTGATGATTTCGCATGATTGTAAGAACCTGTCGGACGTGGTACCTGTGAACCTCAACATCCGACTTTCCATCCATAGCCCGACTATGGATGAATACGTCATCGAAATAACTCGGCGCGAGTTCTCGTACTGGTCTCAACAGATGTGATACACATCTGTTGAACGTGGCAGGGGCATTACTAAGCCCTTGTGGCATTACTAGCCATTCCCAGAGCATGCCTCGAGGCGGGCTCACTGCGTTATAGGGCATATCCCGTTCCCGCATAAGGATTTGGTAGAAGCCATCCATCAAATCCATGGACGAAAAGATGGTACTCTTTGACATACCATCAATGATTACGTCCTTCCTCGGTATCGGCTTCTGAGCCGGTACCGTTGCAGCGTTCAATTTGTTGAACGCGTGCACTATCCGCCACCCTCCTGTTGCTTTTCGCACACAGAAGGTCGGAGAGCTATGTGGGGAAGTTGATTCCCTCACACGGCCCGCAGCTAAACGATCGGCAAAGAACTTGTCGATCGCAAGTACTTGTTCACGAAGCAGTGGCCACTGCTTCATTACACAGTACTTCGAGCCTGGTTTAAGCTCGACCTCGTGTCGAATACCTTTATCCTTCGGTAATTCGCACGGAACAGTTTCAGGGAATACATCCTTGAATTCAACCAAATCTTCATAAAGAGGATTTATCTTGAGCGATTCCCACGATTGGGAGTCATATCGCTCAATTCGTGTCTTTTCATCTAGGACACTCTCGTCCATAGATGAACTACTGAGAACTCTCTCGTTCTCTGTAAACACTGTTGCTGACCTTATGTCGGTTACACACTCGTCGTCAGTGACGAGTACGCAGATCCGCTTGACTTTGCCACTACGCAGATCACGCAAGAACCTTTTATGTTCGAGCGTTGGCAACTGAGTGATCTCCGAAGTCAACTTCGGAGGCGCAATCAGATCAAGTGTATAAGCGCCTACACTTGATCCGTTATTGACTATGACATTCAATGTCTCTGTCATTTCCTGGGGACTTATTCCCTCAGGCTTCGAAGGACTTATTCCTTCGGCTCCCCGGGGACTTTTTCCCGCGGGTTTCGGGGAACTTATTTCCGCCGTATTTGTAATTTTGGGACTTATTCCCTTTACTTCCTCTAGCTGGGGTTGCGCAACCACAGCGATATCCTCTACGAAAGACTCTCCAGTCGATCTAGGATTATCGTTTCGCTTAACCTGAGCGATCGATTGTTTCTCTTCTAGATGTTCCCCGCTAGGGATACATCTTTGTACCGGTCCACCCGACTTATTCGAGTGGTGGACCTTCGGCGCAGCCTGTGTTTCCTCACAGCCGCCGGAACTTTGCTCCGAAGTGTAAACGTTTGGTACACTAAGGTTTTGTGCAGTCGTACTAACGACCGTACCACAAGTGAGGCCATCGCACTCACTCGTAGTACATCCACACGCTTGTGGACGCTCCAAAACGTTCATCAGATGGCCATCTGATGAACAAGCGGCAGGCATCGTTACTGTCCGATGTTGCCAGTTTACCCGTGGTTCGTACCTTCTGAGCCACGGTATTCCAAGGATGACATCAAATTTTTCATCCAAATCCAATACGATAAAGTCATCGTCATATTGGGTCGCTTCTAGCGTATAGTGGATCTTCACTATACGCTTCATGACGGATACGGATGCACCTGTCGCAAGACGTACCGTCATCCTCGTAGGAGGTGTGTCACATTCACGGAACTTAAAGTGACCATCTTCTAGCGATTGGCGTCGCACAAAATTGTTGGACGCCCCACAATCGGCTAGAGCTCGAAGGGACAACTTATTCGTCACTTCGAGTTTCAAGGTAATGAGTGAGATCTCATTACCTAGAACAGCAACACACAACGTTTGTGTGTTGGGAGCAACCTTCATCAAGAGGCCTACAAATTCTCTTGACGTTGCTGGATCAGTAGGGTGCTCCGCACCTACTGATCCTGTCCGTTTTTTGACGGTCCATCCCGTTGTTGCGTCTTTGCACCAACAGCGGACCCTCGTCCCTGCCCCTTTCTCATGGGTGGACGGTCACTACGCCCAGTGTTGCGAGACACTGGACGAGGGGCACTACACTCGTAAGCGTAGTGTCCTGTCTTTTGACATCTGTTGCATCTCTGCAACTTCTTGTAGTCTGTAGAGCGAGCCATCTCGCTCTCTACATAACAGAGTTCCATCGGCTCTGGACCTCCGTTGTCATATCGTCTCGGTTGACGATATGATGTCGAGCTGGCGCGAGCCTGTCTCAGACTGAAGTCTTCCTGCTCCGCAATGGAAATGGCTTGTTCTAGTGAATCTAGTTCAAGCCGGAACAGGTGAGTCTTGACGGGACCGTCCGCAAGACCCTGCATGAACACCGAAACCAACGTGTGTTCATCCACCGGATTGGAACTTATACAACTCGTGAGATGTCGTATATGTTGCGCGTAAGTGTGCACATCACGCTTACCCTGCTTGAGCTTCAAGAGTTCGGTTCGAGCTCTGAACTCAGCTCTAGGAGGTTCAAACGTTTGTCTGAGCCGCGACTTGAAGACTTCCAACGATCCAAACGCATATGGGTCGTGCAACTTGAGCCCCAGTGTCCAAGTCTTGGCACGTCCTGCCAGATTTGACTGGGCAAATGCAACTTGCATATCCCCGTCGTCGATGCGACGCGCCCTTATGGCGTCATCCAATTCGACGAACCATCTCAAGAGGGAGTCCTCTTCGACTCCCCTATACTTGGAGATGTCAATCTTCAAGGTCTCGGGTCGACGCGAGTGCATCGGCCCACCAGCAGCAGCCTGCTGCTGTCTCAACAGTTTAAACTGTTGAGCATCCTGTTCTCCCACCAACTCTGCTTGTTGAGAACCTTGTTGGTGAAGCAAGGCTACTTCTCGCGTTCTGCGTCAAGTTCATTTTGAATGAACTTGGCGATAGTAGCATGTTGGGCATCTCTATTGAGAGCCTCTAGCATGACGCTAACAGCATGGATGCCCATGGTTGAACCCATCCGTTCAACCGCATCCCATTCGACATCGCTCAAATGGGAGTAGCCGTCACGCGTAGCGTAAAAGCTTTGGTCATCTTCATCATCCAACATATTCATGTTGGATGTGAACGTGGTCCTTGGACGGACTGCGAAGTGCTACCAGGTGTAAAGGGGCACCCTGAAGCTTGTACTGGTGACAGTACAAGCTACTTATTCTGATGACAGAATAAGGCGGTGCCTCGGAACTTCACGTACACTGGTACGTGCAGAGGAAGACGGTAAGAAGAAGCGAGTACTTGGTTAAAGTAAAAGTAGAACTGTATTTAGCATAGTTAAAATCTGTTAATCAATCACTATTTATCTTCATCTAACTATGTCTAAATACAAATGTGTAAATCAATTATCTGCTCACCACTCATTGCGTGCGTCTGTCGTGGCGCGTCTTCGTTGGTTGATATAATGGCCTATATTAACCAGTTAGGAACTACTCGTAAGTGCTACAGAATATTTGTCCTTATGACAATATTCTGAGAATCTATAACTCTTATAGTTATATTCTATTACCAATTATTAATAAATTGTTATGTACCGATTCACCCCGTTACACTTCCGGCCATGGAGAAGGCAATATTGGCCTTAAACACTGTTAACAACAGCGTTCGCGTCCCGAGACGCTACCTTGAGGCCATACACAACTTCATGCTTTGCTTGAAACGGCGTGCCGCAAGCTTTTGATTTTGCCGGCACCTTGCTGACCGACACCAATATTGTAACGGGGCACCCTGAAGCTTGTACTGGTGACAGTACAAGCTACTTATTCTGATGACAGAATAAGGCTGTAACGGGGTTGCACGAAATTATGGTACGTTGTACCAGGGGTGTTACACACCTGAGGTTATCCCTTTGTGAAGGTGATATCGAATATCTTATTGGTTTGTAGGGGCTGACGAGTGTCAGCCATTAGGTACGAAAGATCTTTGAGTAGGATTAAGATATTCTATAGGCTTTAACAAAATAAAATCAGTTCCCATTTTGATCGGAAAGACACGTGGCTTGCGAGCCGTCTTGATCGTTGATCACTGATCACTAAGAGCTAGCGACACCTCCTTGAGGTAGCTACTCTTGAGCACTGAGTGCTGTCGATTCACTGAATCGTTAGGTCCCCCTGGAACAGGGATCTGAAGCTGTAAAGCTTGTTGAGTCGTAAAGTCGTTAGTTCTTTGGAGCTAAGTTGCTCGTAGAGCGTTAAGTCTTCCTCTGACTTAAGGGGCTGTGTAGCTCCGCTACACTTGGTAGCACTGGTAGTCAATCTACGCCTGAGTCTCTAAGACTGATCCTCTGTGGGGATGGAAAACTCCACTTCCCTATCTGAGGCCCAAAAGGTCGCGCTTGATAAGCTGACCGCATCTTTGGGTCCAGAGTACGTGGAGTTCCTTGTTTCACAAGGTCCTGAAGTGCTTAATGCACGTGTTGAAAGCTTCATGCAGTATGAAGCGACCCTTTTAGGGCAGGTCCAAGACCAAATAGCGTCGGCTATGCCTACACGCTACGTGTCTGTACCAGACGAAGAGGCTAAGCCTCGTCCACTTAGAGTGGAAGTAAAATACTACTCCGGTAAGGAGGGTGAGAACCTCATCCTCTGGATCCGTGAGATCGAGATGGCCATGAGATCAGGTCTGATCACGCTTGACCATCAACAGGTCTCGCTGGCTATCTCGAAGCTCGATGGTAGAGCTAGAGAATGGGCCTTGACGTGTAGCACGTCGGTGGACATAGCGTTTCCCACATGAGAGTCGCTCAAGTCACAATTGGTACAGGTGTTCTCACCACCTAACCAGGCTTACCGCGTGCGTTCACGCTTTCTTTCTACCCGCCAGGGTAAAAATGAACTATCGGACTTTGTCCAAGAGCTGCGAACGCTCATGGCGGCAATGCAGTCTGACCCTCTGCCTGAAGCAGTCCATGTGACTATCTTCATGGAAGGTCTACGTACTGGCATTGCCAGAACCGAGGTTTTTCGGGTTCACCCCTCTACGTTTGAAGAGGCTGTGAGAATTGCTCTCAATGCTGAGCATAACTTCAAGTCGGCCAGACTTGGGTGGAATGGATTCAATCCTCGCTCTGTGAGAGCAAACTATTCGGTTACCCCTGCCTGTAATAGGCCGGAACCGATGGATCTCAGCTATGCTGAAGATGGAGGTGAAGCTGAGCTTCAAGCTGCTGAGCAGCAACACGTCGTACGACGATGCTTTACGCGCGGCAGCACTAAACACTTGCGGCCTGGTTGTCCTTTGCGTAAGCAACGCCAGGCTACAAGCCAACACTCGACATCGAGTCAGAAGTCTGGCATGGCACGTGGAAATGCCGACACCCAGTAGGCGCGGGACGCCCTACTGGGGAAGAACTATGTTCTGTTACACCTTTAGAAGGTAAAGGAATACAGGGCTTAGCCCCAAAGAGTACCAACCTACAGGTATGGTGCGTGGATAAAAGTCTGGCTTGTTGGTCGCCGAGGCGAAAATTAAGGGCTTTGAGAAGCCTTGGTCGATATTGATCGATTCTGGAGCGTCTTGCAATTATGCTCGACGCCGTTCCCTTGAGGGAGGTCAGCGTTATGCTGAGGCGCTTACAGCGCATGAGGGTGATTCTATCACGGTTCGTTTAGCGACTGGAAGTCGCGTAACTGTGCCTAAAGTTCCATTGAACTTAGGTATAAAGTTTTTAGACTTTGACAGTATTGAGCGCTGTCTTGTCCTAGATTTGGACTCGAGATATGATCTCATCCTAGGTATGGCTTGGCTTGAGCGCCATGAGCCATGTATTGATTGGAGGTCCAAGACCTTAGGCGCTACGCGCAATGTTCCTGGCGAAGCTTTGGAGAGTCATGAACCCACCTTCGCTAGGCAACAAAAACGCTACTGGCGCGAGCCTTTGACAGAAGATGTCAATGTGCTGGATATTGGAATGTCTGAGTTACCTAACTCCAATGTTACAAACATAAGTTTCGAGCTTAGCTCGTCTAGTGAAACGGCACGTACTCCGTTGAGTGTTACTCGTTGTGATAACGATTCAATGCATGCTGAAAGCATGGTTGGCCTAGGGCCGAGTGATCAAGGATGTGATTCCTTTGTTGTGTGTATGGTGGCACGTGAAACTACACCGAGTGCGGTCGGCCGTGAGAGCACCGCACTGAATGTCGGTAATGACATTTTTGGCGATACGCCATTTAGTGTGGGCGGCCGTGAAGGCATTACGCTTAACGTCGGTAATGGCGTTGTTGGCGATTCGCCATATAGTGTGGGCGGCCGTGAGGGCACCACACCTATAGGCAGTAATGATACTGTTGGCGATACGTTGTATAGTGTGGACGGCCGTGAGGGCACCACACCTAATGTCGGTCAAGACAAAAGGTCTCGTATAAAGCGTACTATGGTTGGTAGTAACCATGGGGACAATATTGTCCTGACCCCTAAGGGGTGTAAGGTCTCGAAGAGACGATCGAGACGCCGGGTAGCTACTTTTAAGCGCCAGGCGTCCTCACAGTCACATAGTGATAATAGTAATACACTATATACACTTGTTAATGGAGTGACTGGTCGGGTTGATGGCAGTTTTTGCCCTGAAACCCTTCCATCCGTGGACGCTCTTTGTGAGCTAGACGAAATGTCTGATGGCGGGTTTAGCCAGGCCTTAAAGGCAGGAGAGTTATTTGAGTTAGCGGTCATTAGACCTGATACTGAGTTGAATTCTTCCTCGTTAATGGATGAGTCTGTCCTAGAGGATACAAAGGCGGCACTTAGTGCACGAAGTGGATCTTCCATCCTTAAAGATCCTTTGGATCCGTTCTATCCTTTAGTTAAGGAATTTCAAGATGTGGTGTGTCACAACCCACCTTCTGCCTTACCTCCCGATAGAGGTGTACGTCATGAGATTGACTTGGTTCCTGGAACTAAATACTGTGTAACACGGCAGTGGCCTTTGCCTAAAGAACAGTGTGACGTCATTGACGAATTCTTTCGTGCTAAGCACGCGGCTGGAATGGTTCGTGAGAGCAAGTCTCCCCATTCAACATCGACATTCTGTGTCAAAAAGCCAAATGGAAAGTGGCGTATTGTGCATGCTTACAATAAGCTTAATGCAGCCACTATACCGGCGCAGACGCCTATTCCTAGAAAGGATGTTCTTCAGAACAATATGGCAGGATGTACATTGTACAGTGCACTCGACTTAGTCGACGGTTATTACCAACTGCTCATGCGAGCAAGTGATATTCCGCTAACAGCGGTGAGTACTCCGAGCGGTATGCTCTGGGAGTGGCTCGTTATGCCACAAGGGCTATCTAACGCCCCGGCTACATTTAACCGGTTGGTAACGCAACTATTCAGACCTCATCGAGGCTATGCACAAAAGTACTTTGATGACATTTTTGTCCATAGTCGTGCAATGAATGGGCAATCAGATGTGGATAACCACATCGATCATTTCGAGCGGTGCTCGAATGTATGCGAACGAATAAGTTGTATGCGAACGCATCGAAGTGCATCTTTGGTGCAGAAGAGATTCCCTTTCAAGGGTGCTTCATTGGGAAGCGAGGCCTTCGAGCGGATCCCGCTAAGGTAAGCCATTGTCGATTGGCCAGTCCCCAAGAACCAAAAGGACTTGCGTAAGTGGCTTGGCCTTGCCAATTACTTACATAAGTACAGTGCGAATTACGCAGATATGGCTCGGCCATTGTCCAATCTCCTTAAAAAGGATGTGGATTGGTGTTGGAGTAACACCGAACATGATGCGTTTGAAGCCGTTAAGGAAAGTCTCCTTCATGCGCCAATATTGGCTTTGCCCGATCCTGATCGGCCTTTCAGTGTCGTCTGTGACGCATCTGACTTTTCCATAGGCAGTGCTCTGTTACAAACAGATGTCGATGGACGCGAACGCGTCATCGCATTCGAGTCTCGACAGCTGAAAGCTGCCGAAAAGAACTATCCAGTTCATGACAAAGAGCTACTTGCTATGAAGTACGCTCTAGTCAAATTCAGAGTACATCTGCTTGGCTCAAAGCCGTTTGTGGTCTATACAGATCATGCGTCATTACGCACTGTGACACAGTCGCCTCATCT